TCTGAAGTTGTTGAAACTGCGATTCTGCACATACCCTTGTCCATTCATGAAATTTACCTCCATCTGATCATTATTCTCTGCATCTACAAACTCTTGAGCAAGAGGTGCATCACAAACCTCATCAGCAAAATGCACAGATCTCTGGTTCTCTCTCAACAGCAGATTCACCTTTGCTGTAAGCTCATCTATCTTGCTCAACTCCACACTATGAACTGCTTTGCTAGACCTATCATACTCTTGGGATTTGTTTCTGGAGCTTGCAGCTAAGTTCTCAATCAACTCATAAGCAGCTTCTTTGGACTTAGTCATGAAATCGCCATTGCTAGCTGCATTCAAAGCATTCCTGTAATTCCAGTTGACACCATCATAAAAGGTTGACAGAATCTGCTCATCAGAGAACCCATGGTGAGGGCACTCTCTTCGGTACTCCTTGTACCTCTCCCAAGCTTCGCAGAAGGCTTCACCAGGTTGCTGTTTAAACGACGAGATCTTGTTCTTCAGAGCTGCAGTTTTGGCCTTAGTGTAGAAATGGTCCAAAAATGCTGATCTGCACTCTTCCCATGTAGTCAATGATCCAGGTGGTAATGACTTCAGCCAGCGCAAAGCTTTGTCCGCAAGTGAGAATGGAAAAAGCTTGCACTTCAAGAAATCGGCTGGTATCCCATTTGATCCAGTCGTGCTGCAAATCTCCTCAAAATTCTCGATGTGGTCCATCGGAATCTCAGCAGGAAGCCCATAAAAGAGGTGCTGCTTCACCAATGAGATCAGCTGAGGTTTGATCTCAAAGTCTTGCCTCTGAATGGTTGGAGGAGCAATCGCAGCCCTGTTGTGATAGTAAGCATGCGGATTGTCCTTGTCTCCAATAGCAGGTTGTGGCTGCTCCCTGTTTTGCTGCGCCTTTTGCAGCTGCTCCAATTGCTGTCGAAGCTGTTGTAGCTCGACAGCCATGTTGTCATTGTTGCCTTGATTGTCCATGTTGGCTTGAATAGGCCTTTGACGTCTGTTTTCTCGCTCGACTCTTGCTAGCTCGGTGTTCGACAAAGAAACAAGATCGGTGCAGTTGCTCCTTGTGGATATGTTTGACATACACCTGAAACACACGCAAACAAGAGAACGAGAGAGAAAAATTAGTAAAGCCTTAGTCTGAATTTCAAACCAAAAATCAAAGGTAACGAATTGGTCCCCGTCGCAACGGCGCCAAAATTTGATTCACACTGGATGTACTCCTAGTTTTTACTGCAATAGAACAGTGATGTAGTTGTAATATAAAGGATTCGGAATCCAGAGGACCAGTGTTACTCTATGACTTTGCGAGGATTGAATTAAAGCTAAGAAGAAAGATGGTTTGTTGCGAAAACTAAAAAGTAAACAGAATGGCAAACAATGATTTGAATTCAGATTAAAACAAGCACTAGATCAAGGTAATTCGCAGGAGTTTCAGAGATGAGAATCAAATGACTATTCAGGGCACAACTTAAATGCAGGTCTCGAACTCAAACATAAAAGCTTATCGATCCACTGTCGTGATCTCGATAACTTTATCTAACAACCTAAATTCTAAACTGTCGTTTGAACTTAGAAAATTGCAGACAAGCATTAACAAGCAGGTTTGATCTGTTCACGATTTGCCTTAACTTCAACTGTCGTTGGCTAAGGACAAATCGCTCACCAGTGTTTGTTCTAGCAACCTATTACACTTTTGATGAATAGATTAACCTATGAACGTAAATTGAATGGTCAGTTCAACCTAAGCGTTAAGTCTAACAAAGGTGAAGACAATCGATTATAGACCCTATTTGCATCCAATTCTCTAACTCATGAAATCCTTTGAAACCCTTAATCTAGCTAAGAGATCTACTCAGACATGGAGGAAAGAAACACAGCAACAGATGAAAAGGAATTCATGAATTAAAACCGCAGAAGAGATAATAGGGTTCAGAATTCTTCTCAAAGTGTAGCAGATTTCTTCTCCCAAAAGCTTACAAGTAAAAACTCTCTGGTTCAGGAAATTGTAAAAAGAAAGCGTAAAAAGTCTGTAGAAAAACGTGATAATAAAAACACAGGCGGCTCTGGGCTTTTTATTCCATCTCACGCGACTTAGGATTAGGTAAAATCGTTTTCCTTATTTTTCTCCCGTCCGGAGCAGGTGCTCCACGAAGGGTCCGAACCGGGAGCAGGTGCTCCACGGATGATTTCTCCAAAAACGTGTGAAATAGCTCCTTATTGCTCAAATTAATCTCCTTTTGTTCCAATGCCTCCTAAACATTCCAATCCTCTGATAAGGCCTCTAAGTCACCTGAAACTTCCTGAAAAGACTCCAAAAACTCATAAAACAATCAGTAAACACAAGTTAGAATGAGTCAAAATCTCCACTCATCACATATCCTCATATTTATTCCGAAAAAGAACACAGTCATTCTTGCAGGCATGAATGATTTCATAACCAAAACCAAACATCTTCAGGAACTTCTTCATCTCATCCGTCGACTTTGGGAGAACATTACTCTCTGTCAGCATGTCATGGACTAGCATTAGGAGCTGATCGAAGTATTTTTCTGACATTCCACTCTTCACCTTGATTCTGTAAAGCCCCATGATTGCAGAAACCTTGGTGTACTTGAGACAAGACGAGTACAATGGAGTTTCAGCGTCTTGTAGCTTTTTCCTAAACTCGGATTCTTCTCCATGTCCATCATCTTCAAACTGATCACCCGGCTGACCTTCAGAACTTCCATTGTATTCTCTTGCTAAAAAAGCAGTCCTAATCAAATTGTATGCCTCATGCTCAGATGTTGCTACTTCACTACTCTTATATGCCCTTATTTCCCCATGCTTGCTCCAGCATTTATTCCTCTTATACTTGTGATCCATCCCCTTAATCACTAAATGATCCAACACTGTCCCTAGTGGTTGATGACAAACATTGCGGCAGTCGATACATGGACAGAACATATGAGAAAAATTTCCCAATTTCTTTGCTGATTCATACACAAAACAAGTAGCACCTTGCTCGTATTCAAGGCTAGCCCTATAAGGCAAGATCATTACCAAGATTAATATTCACAAACTCAATAGAAAGATACAAAAAGAAGTATGCAATTAAGTATACAAAACTAAACAGAAACAAATTCATACCTTGGTAACCATACCCAAGCTTTATCCATGGTACACTAGTACCACAATGAATCCACAGCTCCAACGAAATATACACACAAATTTACCACACAATCACTTAATCAACTTCACAAAGACATTTAAACAACTCAAGAGAGAATCAAATCTCAGTCGTTGCTATACCTTTAAAGTTTTTTTTTCTTCCTCGTTTGATGGGCTCCAACTGCAAAAGATAAGAAAAATGATCAATCAGTTAAACTAAAACAAACAATAAGATAACTCGCGAATTACTGAAACCATCAAGCCTAAAGATTACCTTCCCCTGAAGAAATCCTTACAAGAACAATTTCTTCCTGCGTAATAGATCAGATCTAAACTCAGATTATAATATAACAACTCAAAACCAACGGACTAACATGCACAGATATATCAAAGTTAGTACCTTCAAATCGAACAGGGTTTTCAAGATGAGAATGTGATTCTTCGACTGCAAGAGTTAGTCGCAATCGTCGACGGTACGCTTTGGAAATCGGAAGTCTATCGGAATCGGAGAAGGTTTACAGATTTCAAACTCGGAGATTTCAATAATTGGAGAAGGTTTCTGGGTCTCGAGTGATGAAGCAAAGTATAAGAACAGATAATGAAATTGGCAGGATATTAAGAGATTAAGAGTTTCTGAGTTTGAAATCGGAGAATCAATGGGTTTCAAATCGTTGATTGTTAACGATTTCTGAGTTTCTAGCAGATCGAAAAGCTATTTGATAGAAAGAGTGAAAGTGGATGGGGAAATCGAAAAGGGGAAAAAATCAATATTTCCACACTAAAAAATTTCTAAGTATGGAGGGAATCGAAAAAAAATTTTCCGCCATAAGATATTACAGCGTTTAAAGTACAAGTCTGCTATGAAAACAAATTATTTTACAAAAAATTATTCCACAAATTTTAATATCACACGTATTATAGTGGTCACGCATGTTTACCGCTATTACAAAAAAAATGGATACAAAATGATAACACAATTCAAATAAACACTATACTCGTGTGCTATTAAAACTCGTATTTCTTGTAGTGCTCGCACCCGATCCGGCATCCACATCTGTTGCGTTTAAATTTTTTCGACTCCAAGTCATACAAATATAACCTTGTTGTAGAGTGTTTATAAAGTTCATAAATTTATACACTCAAAAACATTATATTACAATACAGAAAATATTGTATAATATTATAACAATTAGGGTTTGAGAATTATAAAGAAAACATATATGTGCGACGCACGTATCTTAAACTGAATCAATGTTGTCCAAAAAAACATAGCTAGAAAAAGATTTAAAACACTCTAAATTAAAAACAGGCAAGGTTTTAAATATATATGGAGAAATACAATTATATTTAGCATTAGAGTAATAGAGTTAAAGATTAAGCCGTAATGGTTAGATTTATGATTTATTGTTTGGGTTTAGTTTTAGACGAAGGATTTAGGTTTTAGCGTTAGCTTTTTTGCAGTAGACTATTTTTTATTAAAAAAAAAAACTTTACTTAACTTTATAATAAACCATTCTACTTTAGTGTATCATATCATATTATTTAAAAATTATAAACGTAAACGCTAAATATAGCTTGTTTATATATATAGCTTGTTTTCTGAACTACTGTAGCTAAAAAACGCCTTTGTATTCTGATCATATCCATCAACTGTTTGATTGTAAACAAGCACTATCTCATGAAATTTTTCATATTAAAAAAATGTCTTGGAAGAATGAAGAAAGAAACAAGCGAGACCATAGAAGATCAACAGGCCAAACCAAACACCAAACGCCAAACAGTGCAAACACCAAATAGAGAAGAAAAAGAACGACATTAAAACTTGCTGAAACTAATTTTTCAATTCAAATCATGGACTCCGAATATATAGAGTCAAATATGTTCACTTCATCGGACATTGTCATATCACTCATTAAAGCTCCACCTATTGCTCTTCCCAAAACTGCAGTCCCTATACCTAATTCCGCCATATTCCTTCCTTGCGGCTTCACTACTGGTCGTTCAGATTGTGTTTGTGGCTGTGCTTGTGATTGGGGGAGCTGGTATTGCTGTTGCGTTTGTGAATACTGCTGGTACTCATGTGACTGATATGGAGGTGGCATACTAAATGGTAGTTGACCATTACTCGGCCCAACCTTGGCCCTTGGGGTAACTGGGAGGTGATGATAACTAGGTGTACTGTGAACCGTGCCATATGATTCGTTTGACTGATGTGTGACGGGCATATGTGTAGCAAATGGTTTGGATGTTGTGGGTGGTTGAGCGGAGGGGCTAAATAATGTAGCTTCAGGCGCAAGAAACCTATACGAGAAACTCAATTTTCCTTTCGTTCCATATGGCCCCGTGACGTCGTGCGCAACCAACTTCATAACGTTGGAATCGTCGTTAGTTAACGGAGACGGTGAATTAAGACCTAGAAGCTCTTCCAATGGGACTTTGACCCTTCCAATTTCTTTATCTCCAAGAGACGGCCGCACGCTGATCAGCTTCACGAGGAGGGACAAACGGCCTTCTTGAGCTAATTGCGCGTCGATGGGAAATTCCATGGCTTGGTGATTCCATGTTGGGTTTGTGTAGGCTGAATATGCGATAGGAGTATTGATCCCCTGCTTAATCTTCTTGTCCTCAAGAATCAAAACGGTAGCGTATACATCCATCGCCGAGAAAGTATTGACATCTTTGATGCCCTTGGCGAATTTGATCAGAATCTGTAGTGTTAATTTCCCCATTGAGGTTTGGATTTGAGGAGCATACATGACAGGCTGAGCTGATCTTGGTGGATCGGTGTTTTGGTAAACGGGTTGATTAGACAATAGCGAGTAATCCGGGGCTGAAGGATACTTATCATCACCTGGTGATGCCGGTTTAGAAGATAAGTAATCTGGTGCCGAGGGATACAGATCATTAACCGGTATCGGTTTGAACCGGTAGGAGAGGCTCAGCCTTGCTTTTGTACTTGCTCTTATGACTCTGATAGGGCAAGTCATAGACTTCATTTTATTGCCACTACCATTTGTAGATGGTTTAAGCGGATTTAAGGCAAGAAGCTCTTGAACCGAAACGTTGACTTCTCCTAGATAAAGATCATCCTCTCCTTCGAGCCAGAAGCTTAATAACTTGACTTTAACGGTTGATAGGCCATCAAGGGCTGCCTTCTCAATGACGGAAAACTTAACGGTGTGATTCCACGTCGGATTGGAACCACCGTCGTAGTCAATGGGTGTTTTGGCCGCTTGTTTTGTTTGCATGTAGTCACTGTTGATTGAAACAACGGCGTATACGTCCATATTGTCCGTGTCATCGATATGGGCATGGCTGACGTCAGTGGCTGATATGATTTTGAGCTCAAGAGTTAGGTTCTTTGCTCTAGGTCTTTGCAGTTCTAAGGAAGACATTTTCTAAGGAGCCTTGTCTCGGCAAATGTGGAGTAAATAAAGATTCTTACATACATTTTCGTGAGTCTATGTTCTTGACAAATGCGTCGACCTGATCTTCTGATGTTAAAACATTTATTTTTTTGGCAAAGAAACATTTAATTTTATAACAGCTGGAAACAAAAGTCTACTTCCCAATCTTTTAGATCAACTAATGATTTTTACGGATCGAAAGGGACTTGTTTTTATTTTGTTAAAGTAGAAAGGGACTTGTTTTGTCGTTATAATTGATCGAGTCTACCAAAATTAATACAACTTCAGAATAAACATGTTAGTGTAATTTATTATCTTATCCTCAAATAGTTTTTGTCATTGCCCATTGGGATTAACATATGCCACGCACGTATATTAATCTGCATCAATTTGGTAATTGAATAAGTAATACAAACTTATAGGAAAAAGTCGCAATAATATTTTTTAAATTTTAGAACTTTTCAAATTGCATTTGAACGGCGTCATAGATTCATAATAAACTGACAAGCTGTGGAATCAACTAATGGATATTCCCATTTAGTTCTCGTTCTTTTCTTTTTCGTCGTCCCATACTTTCCACCCTAATTCTTGTCGAAGCCCTATAGCCCTACTATAGAGGCACGTAGTGCTGGTGTGTGGTCGTAACAGTGACCGGGTTTATCAGAAAGAACATGAACCATCGTAGCCAATGGGTGCTGCTTTTGAGTATACTCGTCTTTGATTGAAATGACGGCGTGCAAGTCCATCTTGTCCGTGGAATCGACATATACTACGAAAATTAAGTACATACATTTTTTGGTAATGATTATATATTATAATGACGGATCGAATTGAGTACAAATTAGACTATTTCTCAAAAGAAATATCAAGTCTGTGTCAAGTGGTTTACCACTATCACACATTGGACAAGTTGCACACTTCGACACAAACGAAGAGAAAGATAAGTAATTAGAAGTGATTTTATTTTTTCTTTGGTTTTCTAATAAGAAGATTTAGTACTAAAACATAAGAAAGCAAACTGAAAAATAAAAACAAACTTAAAATATGAAAGAAAAAAAACACAAATTTAATACGAAAGTGTAAAAAAGGATGAAGCGGGGATGTGAATATGTATATGAAAAAGAGTCATTGCAACGGTTCCGTGGAAAATTAAAATGAAGGAATTGAATAAACGTATATTAAATGAGCTAATAGAACAAAGGAACAAAACAAATGAACTGAACAAAAAAACAACTAATTCTTATAAATTAAAAGAAGGAAAAAAGAATTTTCCATTGCATTATAATATCAACAAAAAATGTTGACAACAAAAGTATAAAGAGTAAATATTATTTTGCATAGATTTAATGTAGCATTGGTGCGACCACATTATGCTTCTTGTGTATCTGGTAGTGGTTGAGGAAATGTCTGCGGAGGCAGTGGTTTAAGCTGTGAATGTTGTGGTGGTGGCTGCGATTGCGGTTGTGGTTGCGATTGCTGCTTCCTCGGTGAATATTGTTGGTATCCATGTGATTGATATTGAGGTGACACATATATTGGTACTAGACCGTTGTTTGTCCCAGCATTTGCACCTTGTTGAACAGTCACGTAACCCGAGCTTACCTGAATATGATCCGATGATGCGTAAGAGTGAGGAGAGACAGGTAGATACATAATATATGGTTGTGTTTTTGTAGATTGTGGTGCAACCGTGGAAACAGTAACTTTTTCCGCAAGAAACCTATACGTGAAGCTCACGACACCCTTTTTCCCGTAAGGACCAGTCAAAGCGTGCGTCTCCGACTTCATACCGTTACCATCAGTACCATTGGCTGATGAAGAAGGCGGATTTGAGTTCAACAGTTGCTGCATCGGAAGCCTGACGAATCCAATCTCTTTGTCACCAAGGAAAGGCCGGTGGCTCATCAATTCCACGAGGAGCATCAAACGCCCTTCATGACCTAATTTCTCATCGACTGAAAACTTTATTGTCTGGTTCCATTTCGGGTTTGTATTGGCGGAGAAAGCCACAGGGGTATTGATCCTATCCTTAACCTTCCTGTCCTTAAGGATAGCAACCGAAGCGTATACGTCCATGGCCGAAAAGGCGTTGACGTCTTCGATGTCCTTGGCGTATTTGATCACGATCTCTAAGATTAGCCTTGTTGGTACGGTTTGAAACCGAGGCGAAAATGGGACATGCTGACCTGATATTGCTGGTTCTTGGTTTGGATAAACGGGCTGACCAATGGATGGTGGATAATCTTGTGCCGGAGGACACGACCCATCAACCGGGACAGGTTTAAACCGGTACAAGAGGCTCAACGTTGCTTTGGTACTTTCTCCATCAGTGACTTTGATAGGGCAAGTCATTGACTTCATCTTATTGACGTTACCGTTTGCATACGGTGGAAGCGGATTTGAGGCAAGAAGCTCTTGAACCGAGACGTTGACTTCTCCTAGATAAATGTCATCTTTCCCTTCGAGCCAATAGCTAAATAACTCGATCTTGAGGGTGAATAGGCCTTCACGGACATGTTCTTCGTTGACAGGAAACTTAACAGTGTGATTCCACGTCGGATTAGAACCACCGTCATAGTCAATGGGTGTTTTGGCCACTTGCTTCTGTTGAGTAGTTTCGCCGTTGAATGAAACGACGGCGTATACGTCCATCTTGTCTGTGGTATCAACATGGCTGAGGTGACTTGCTGATACAATTTTGAGCTCAATAGTTGGGTTCTCTGTGGCTCTTTGTAACTCTGAGGAAGCCATTTTTTAGAATATCTTTGTCTTTGTACTATCTTCGCAAATGTGATTTAAGGACAAAGATATATATACAAGTTTTACGTGTGGTCCGTGTGGACATCTTCTAATGTTAAGAAAATTATATAAAGATAAGTACGTCATTTCTCGAGTAAACGCTAGTTTAATATACCTGAAATTGTTAATAAAAATTTATTTTGTATTAAAATTTGAAAACAATATGCAGATTTTATAACCTCTTAATATATAAGTTCATTTTTAAATGACCTATAGTTTGAAATAAAAACTGAAAATTTATAATGTATCTGTATATATACGAAACATTTTTACGAGTACATGTATATTTCTTTCAATGATTAGAGATTCAATATAGATTCACCCGTGTGTCTATGTCGAGTGGTGTCCCACTAGCACAATTCATTCATCACATAAGACAAGTTCCACAATGTATAAAGACTTGGTCTTTATGTCGATTATTCTATATATATAAAAAACGAGAACTCAAAATATACATATATTTCTTTAATTTATTAAACTTGTATCGGATATTCTTTATTAAATGGTGCAAAAGAATGACAGCATTTGTTGCTACGAAGGAACTCAAATTGAAGAAAACCATTAAAATTGAAACTATAGGTGAAAGATTTTAATTGGACTCTTAATCTTTAACAAAAACAAAAGTAGTGGACTCTTAATTTTAATGGTCTTGACTGTCATGACGACCTCGAACTCGCAAGAAGAGCTTGAGGGTCGGATTCCTCTCTCTGCCTCTTTGCAACTCTGGAGGAGACATTTCCGAGAGATAACATTATACAATACAAAGGTATCACACTAATTAATATTTTTATATACATAAATTGATAAGCTCTAAACACAGCTGGAAACGAAAGTCCACTTATGAACTCCACACGCACGTATAGTATACGTTGGTAGTCGAAAAGCTAATACACAATTTTCTCCATAGTCACAAATTAATAAGAAAATAAATCAATTGAAACCCATCGTAATATAAAAATTGACGTCATGGTATCAACTAAACTATTATGGATATTCCCATTTTTAGTGATCTGGTCTTGATTGGTGACGGTAAAGATGTTGTGGTGGGTCTAAAGCCAATGCAAACGGGTTAAACATAACAAGGTTAGCCCCTGGCCAAAACCCCTTTTTTTTTTATATTAACATATGCCTGGCGTTTTTGTTCATATGAGTGATGAGAAGGTTAAGAGATATCATTTCAAATCCTTTTAAAAAAAAAATCATTTCTTTAATGAGTTGGAGAAGCATGAGCCATTTTTACCGTCGCACAATCATCTTTTTTTTTTTTTTTTTTTTTATTTTATTTTACCGTCGCACAATCATCGAATTATATCATCCTTCTTTTTCCTCAATAAATTTTCAAATTTTGAGTTTTTATTAGTAATCACTGGTTTTTGTTTGGTTTAAGGTTTCTTTAAGCCATATATATGACCTTTTTTTCAACCTTAGCTTTAAATAATTTTGCTCGCGGAGAATTAATTCCTGCTCTAGACCAACATAGCAATTCCTTCTTACATAGGAACCACTAGCCCACAACTAATTAGTTAGACATCTCTATGTTTTGATGAAAAGAAATGAAGGGTAAAATCACTTTTCTTTGCCAACTCACTATAAAAATTTGATTGTTAATATTATAGAATAAGGAAAGGATCCTGAAGTTCATACATCTCCTAATTAAGGACTTACCAGGTGTATAGCCGCAGCCTACGCTACAAGAAAACATCAAAAGTTCCCATAAATCATTTCAACAATAGTAGTCAAAAAAATTCTAACAATAATCTTACAATAGTTTAACAAAATTAATAACGTCGGAAACTCATCACAATATTCCAACAAATATGGGTTATCGAAATTGCGTCAGATAACTTATTGACAAATTTTCAAAAGTTTATAACAAAATGAAGCTCATCAGAAATTACCAATGACTTTTAAGTTGTTGAAAATTACCAACATATTATTCGTCGGGAATTCATCAGTTTGTTGGTGGGCTCGACGATTTGCCGACACAATTTTTGTGTGAACTATTCTGACTATCTTTATCTCTAAAAGAATATCAAAATCGAAATTTTTGTTGAACCGGTTGAACTACTGAATTAATTAATTAATTTTTTATTAGAAATTATATAAGCATAATATTAATTATCTTCAAGATAATATATGAACCACATAGAATAAACTTAATATAATGATAAACAACTAAAATTTAAAAATCGTTAATTGGAGATGAACTTGCTAGCAAGAAAGTAAAAAAAATTCTCCATAACCAGAAAATATATATTATATATATTAATATTTTTTATATTAAAAGAAATCATGGTCAAAAAAAAAAAAAATACAAGCAACCTATAGAAAAAAAATGCTATTGATGAAAAAATTAATTGACATGTCTAGACGATCTGTCGCCAACACCATATGGGAGGGGGAGTTCCCACATCAAATAGAAAGAAAAAAATCAGATACTGTATATAGTTTCTTTATAAATAGCAATATTGAATAGAAAATAAAGCATACTAATTCAGAAATTCTTTTGGGCTTATTTAAAAGTCTACGTTTAAACTGAGCAATATTGCTGGGTTTGACAAGATTAATTGGGGAAAACGCTTTATTTTTCACCAGTATTTTCATATAATAACCAGTTTACACGAAGTTTAAGACTCGTTGTATCACTCCATACTTTGAAAGTTTGGACTCTATTTCCCTATGAAATGAAACTTTTTATATATCAAAAATATTATATGAAAGTATTGGTGGGGAAATAGAGCGTTTTCCCGATTAATTGGTTTTAATAAATTATTTATTATTTAAATTTGTGGATAATTTCTATAATTTACCAATAAAATTCAAAACATTATTTCCAAGAAAAGAATGTTTGTGTAAATCAGCTAAGTATATTGTAGGAATGTTCTAACGAAATTTCAATAAGTAATTTGTTGGAGAATTTTGTTAGAATTTTTTCAAAATTTTATCAACAACAATCCAACGAATAGAATATTGTAAGAAGTTCGATGGAAAAACTAACAACATTTCAACAAAAGTTTTGTCAGAAAAATTTGTCGAAATTTCGTTAAACTATATCAAAAAATTTCTGATAAATAATATATCAGTATGTTCCGACAAATTTTCATTAAATTTCAACGACTTACAAACTATCTCACTGGTTTTAACGATCAAGTTCTAACGGAATTCTCATTTGTGAGAAATTTATCGGAACTATTGATTTCCAACAAAATATCTACAAGTATATCTGTTAGAATCACTGTTTTTTCTTCTTAGAATCACTGTTTTTTTCTTGTAGTGTGCCACGGCTGGTTTATTTCCCAGTCATGTTGTATTGTGTCTGTTCTCTGTACTTACACATGTTTTTTTTTATGTCTCCTTGATTGTTTGTTGACATACATATGAATTGGTATTTATCAGTTACTTTTATTTTTTTTGTTATAGACTATATATAATACATGCATGTTAGTTATTATCTGTGTTCCAAAAAAAAAAATATACATCATTTCTGTCGTTTTATCATACATCGTTACAAAATCGTAAAAGCAAAGGCAAATAAAAATATCAGTTTATGCAATTTTTGTGGTCTTAGAGAATGTCCAACCCAAGGTTTTATGAGGTTCAAAGATGGGGTTCATAACATTTTTTGGATTTTATTTAATCACAGAGACCCACTTTATTGTTGAATCGGTTCTAATATAAGAGTTTATAGAATCTGGTTTTGGAGAGGTTCAAGATGACGTAGCATGACCTAATTGGTTGAAGGAACCATAAAAAAAAAATCGAGAGCTGAATGGATCATGGATGTCGACTAATCCGCCGATGGATCCAACTCCGCCGACGAAGATTAGCTTGGAGGAGAATCAAGGAGCGGTGGTGAAGAGGAATCGATCGGAGCAAGGTGGACGGAAGGGAAAGAGGCGGAGGGAAGACGGAGCCAAGAGTGGGAGAGAGAGTCGAAGGCGAAGGATTGGTTGTGGAGGTGTTGTGGATACAGCAGAGAAAAAGCCATGGCGAAGAGGAGGAAGAAGGGGAAGGAGGAAGAGGGGTGATGATTCATGATTGATCGCCATAGCTCTGAGACAGAGGAGAAACAGATAAGAGAAGAGATTGGGAGGAGGGAGAAGAAGGAGAAGAAAAATAACAGGTTCAGGGTTGGAACCATAGAAAATAGAGAAGTTCTTAACTTCTAAGCTTAAAAAAAAATATTAATAAAAATTAGATTAGAACCCCTTTAGAAGGTTCAGGGTTGAACATGGTCTTACTTTCAGTTTATTCCTTCTTCAAAGACTGAAGCTGCTCATTTTCGGTGCTCGTTTAATCTCATACTTTGTTGAGTTGTATAAAATCATGAGATAACGCTATCTTAGCTAGTCACTTTCTGAATGATGAAATAACATTGGCGACCACAAATAAAGCGCTATGTCAAGGAAACATTTCCATTTCAAATTTAATTGGAAGCAAACATGCAAGAACAATCCAAATCCAAACCAAATACCAAACAGAAGAAGAAAACGAAATAAGCAATAGCAATAACTGAAAATTCAATTTAGTGGACTGATCATCGATTATGAAGAACGAAACCTCTCAAGCCCCAGCCTCGTATGTGTTTAATTCATCAGACATCATCTCACTCATTAAAGCTCCTCCAATTACTCGACCCAAAACGGCCGCCCCTAGTCCTAGTGCTGCGACACTTCCTCCTTGCGGCTTCACTTGTGGTCGTGCTCCTTGCACTTGCGCTTGTGTTTGTGTCGGCCGCTGTGGTGGTTGTGGCTGCGGTTGCGGCTGCTGTTGAGGTTGTGATTGAAACTGCGGTTGTGGTTGTGGTTGTGGTTGTTGTTGTGGTTGCCGTTGGGAATATTGTTGGTATCCCTGTGGATGATATGGGGGTGGCATATAAATTGGTACTAGACCGTTGCTTGGCCCAATGTTTGCTCCTGTGTGAACAGCCATGTAACCCGGTGTTCCGTGAACCGGGTTTGCTGACCCGTCGGACTGATGTGGGATGGGTATATACATAATAATTGGCTGGGGTGTTGTACCTGGTACAATAGGAACTGTAACTTTCTCCTCAAGAAACCTATATGTGAAGCTTAGGGTTCCTTTTTCCCCGTACTCACCCCTCACCTTGTGCGTCACCAACTTCATACTGTTTAACTTAACGTCAGTTAACGGAGACGGCGGTTTCAAACCAATAAGTTCTTGAATCCGGACATTGACTTTTCCAATATGCTTATCTCCCATGATTGGTCGGTGACTCATCAATTCCACGACAAGGCTGTCTTCTCCAGCTAACTCTTCCTCGTCGAAGCAAAACTTAACGGCGTGATTCCAAGTTGGGAATATGAAGCCGGAATATGCGATAGGGGTTTTCGTCTTTTGCTTAACTTTTGTGGTCTTGCCATCACAGATCATAACATAAGCGTATACGTCCATGTCATCGAAAACGTTGACATTTCTTATGTTGTTGGCGGATTTGATCACGAGCTCTATGGCTAGCTTCGTCACGGTGATGGCCTGACCAGTGGTCTGAGTCGTCTGACACTGATGAGGGGAATATATGATGGGCTGGCCTGATGTTGCTGGACCAAAAGGTGGCAAATAAACCGGTTCTGGCGGCGGAGGATACAGATCCTTAACCGGTACTGGTTTGAAACGGTATGAGAGGCTCAGCTTTTCATTTGGTTTTGTTTCTCCGATGAATGTTATAGGATAAGTCACCGGCTTCATTTTATTGACGTTACCGTTAGAAAACGGTGGAAGCGCATTTGAAGCAAGTAGATCTTGAACCAAGACGTTGACTTCTCCCAAATATATATCATTCTCGTCTTCTAACCAATAGCTATATAACTTAATGTAGACGGTCAATAGGCCTTCACGGGCTCTTTCCTCGTTGACGGAGAACTTAACGGTGTGATTCCACGTCGGATTAGAACCACCGTCGTAGTCAATAGGAGTTTTAGCCGATTGTTTCTTTTGAGTATTGTCGCCGTTAATTGAAACGACGGCATATGCGTCTATCTTCTCTGTGGTATCAATATGGCTGACGTCACTTGCCGATATGATTTTGAGCTCCAGAGTTGGGTTGTCTATGGCGTTTTGCAACCGTCGGGGAGACATTTTCTGATAGTATTGTTTTTTTTTGTCATAATTTGGCAAATGTAAAGTAGACAAAAATATATACAATTATGTGTGGACATCTTCTAATGTTATCGACGGATAATATGGATGCCATTTCTCAAGTCAACCTTACTTTGATTTACATACCCCTTTTTTATTTTGTGCAACAGTTTGATATACATAAAGTTGACCATTTATAGTGTAAACTAAATTCATGTAATATATATATATATATATATATTGGTGTAACTGATAATCAATAAATGGAATTTACTCATTTATATCACTGCCTGTTTTGAAGTGGGCTAATTTTTCAAATAAGAGTTTTTTTTTTTCATTCATAATGGGGGATGAAATGGAACCACTTTCTCATTCTTTCATTCTAACTGGTGAATATTGTAAAGAACGTATAAGAATTTATCATTCATGAGATTTTATCCCATTAAAGTGCATTCCAGTTGGACCCTATTTACATAATAGATCACCAATATATGTATTCATAATCCCCCCCCCCCCCAAAAAAAATAATAATATAAAAAAAATCTAACATGTCTAGCCGAGTGGCTTCCCAATATCACACAAACATTAGGCAAGTGTTTTTTTGTTAAATACAGAAGACAAGTTCCTCTCAAACAAAAGTAAAGACAAATATAAAAATACATGTATATAGGACTTGGTATTTATGATACTTTTAAATTACACTAAAAACGAGAAGTCAAAATAAAACATAGCTGTAATTAATTAGTTTGTTTTACATAATTAACTCTAATAAATTTTGATATTCGGGGGTGTAGACGTTTGTGCAGATAAACCCAATAAACTTTTTAAAAATGTATATATGTTTCAAGATGATTTACCTCTGTATTGATTTTGTAAAACAAAGTATATTAACTTCTATATACGAACTTATGGATATGGAGATTGCATCTACATGTAAAAGGATTTTCAAGCGAAATTCACCCAACTGAACGATGGTTTTGTAGTAATTAGTTAATTACCATTTACTACGCAGTACTCGGCTTCACGGAGTTGTAAATTTGCATTTAAAAATCCGTTGTTGCACTTGCACTCTTCCGGAACATTCTTAATTGCTTTACTCGCTCCATTCTTTGATGATAGACTCGTGACACTGCTACAACAAAATAATAATAATAATCATATATAGTATTTTGATGAGAAACCCGTGAATGTGTTATTTATTTAGTCCGAAAGGAATATATACATAATACATGTAGAGTGATATGAGGAAATTACAAGAAAGTAATACAAAGGATTTGATAAGCTGAAGAATACTCTTTAAGGGTTAGTTTTCAAAATATACTGAAAGATACGCTAAAATAACAGTTGTACGTACGTACACTATTGATTTATTGTTATATAAATTAACATTAAAGTTTAAAGAGAATATGGATTAGAGTTTCGAGACAGTGTATAACGATGCAGGCGAGTCCAAGAGCGTTGGCTTGATGGGACGTGAGATGGTATAGGATTCAAGACATTTGAGGCATGTGTTTTAGATATTTGAGGCATGAGGCCATGACCAAGGGTTAATATCACTTCTTGGGAGGTAACTCTTTAACCATCTAGACCAATGAATTCTAAAAATAATGACCGTATTAAACATCAGAAAAGTTTCTTAGGCTCAAGGCCCACCTGCTTGTTGTCCTATCTTGTTAAAACTTTTTCATTATCATACGAACATTCAACAACACAACTCTTAGGTTAACCATTATTCTTACTAACTAACATCTTTAGCTCACTAACTAACAATTAATTGATGAAATTCCTTTTTTGTCAATCGACATCGGATATTCTATCTAAAACATGAGAAATAAAATTTGTTAACCAAGAAACATTATTTTAAAAAGATTAATCTCAATATTCTTTTAAAGAAAATAAACTGATGAACTGTATACTTATATGCTTAATTGTTGGTGAGGAATGCAGTTAAATAAATATAATCACGCATGAAATATAATGGAATGTTATTTCATTTAGTTAGCGGTAGAACTGATCGATACATAGATTGTTTTGTTGATATATAGATAGATGCAAGTATTGGAACTATATAAAATGCTCAAGACGCTTGATCATCGTCCTAGCAACAGAAGAGAGTTGGGCATAGACACTGATGTCGTCATAAACTTCAGGTGACTCTTTGAAATTGAGCTTTTGGAGATTGTCTCTGCAAGTTAAAGGATAGCTAAGCGTAGTATTCACCAACCCGCTTGCTTTCTTGTAGCTACGGATAATCACACTGTGCTTGATTTCATAAAGTTGTGATTTTGCAATCGAAAAGCCTCTGTTGCAGTCTCCCAAAACTTTCTTAATTGCTACACTCTCATTTTTCCTCGACGATATACTCGTAACGTTGCTACAACCAAAAGAAAAATAGTAATTCAATAATCGTTATGATGAGATATACAAACGGGAATAAACGGCAAATGTATTATTAATATTATTTAGTAAGATGTTAATGCTAAACTATTATATTAGAGCCCATTATATTATGATGCTAAAATTTTCAGGGGGAGTCAAATTTGGAAGAAATCAAAATGTTTGAAGAGAAGGCACATTAGTTTACAACAATGTTTTAATATTGATTTAAAGTTTTTTTTGAAAAAAAATGATTTAGAGTGCAAAACGAATATAGAAGAGAGTATAATCGAAGGAAGAATCAAAGGGATTGGGTCTTAAGACTCTTAACAGATATTTTTCAAAAACTACTAGAAAATACGTTGATATGTTCTTTGTACGTTATGGATTCATTGTTTAAAGAAACTTACTTAGTCAGGTTTTGGAGTTGAGATTCTAGACAGTGTATAACGATTTGGACGAATCCAACATGGTCGGCATAAATGGAGTTTGGGTCGGACGCAAGACATTTGAGGCAAGTGTTTTGGTAATCTGTGAGGCTACACTCTCCCTTGATCCGGTCATACAGATCAGCTCCGTTCGATAGGACAAGAAGTGATAAAAGCACAACCTTGATCATCATGGGAAAAGTCATTTCTCTCTCTCTCTCTTTCTCTTTTTTTATGATTATAGGTTTTTCTTATGTTTGATGTTTTGTGGTGGTGATGCATTGATCAAGAGGTGTTTACTGCCTATTTAAACTAAGAACCTTGAGATTTGATTGGCCACAAGTCACTATCTCTTTAATGGGGTTTTATGAGGTGGTAGCTCGATTGCAACCTCTTTTTTACCATTCGTAGTGCAATTTTTCATATTTTCAACACATAGTTAATGTAAACTGCTAATTCTTGATTTGCTTCTCTTGGCTAAAATGATATTACAGCAGATTCCTTATGGACATTCGGTAAATTATATGTGCTCTTTAATTTTTATCTGCCGTAATATTTGTAGGTAATTTATTCGTAATGTGGATATGGGCTTCAAAAGTTCAATTTGAAGGTTTACGGACTTTGCAGACCTCGTGAATATTCTGGTTAAATCCAACGGGTTTGTGCGTTCGGCTTATAGATCATTCTAAACAAAAATATTTGAAGTATTTTGACTAATACATATATAACAGTGAAAAAACATTGGAAAGACTCACTTTCCCTTAATAATGGCCAATTTTTAAGAACTTAAGGGCATTAGGAAAACTTGCCTACCGATCAGGCGATCACTTTTCTAAGAATTCAAGAAGCTACCTCGCATTATTGGTACTTACACCACCACTTCACATCAAGCACTCATTCAAAGAACATTTTATATTAAAAAATTCCACAAAAGCAGCAAGTAAGAAAAAAACACAGAAATTTCTAACAAGCCAAACTGATAAACGAAAGTAGAACTTGTGAAAACCGAATGTTCACTTCTGATTATTGACTAATCACAAGTTAAGATCCGAAGCCCTTAAGCCTCAAAATCATATATGTTTACCTCTTCGGACATCATCTCACTTCTTAAAGGTCCACCAATTACACGTCCCAAAACCGCCGCTCCTACAGCCGCAATCACACCCCCTTGTGGCGTAATTGGTGGTCGACTTTGCGTATGTGTGTGTAAATCCGTTGGCTGCTGTGGTGGTGGTGGTGGTTGAGGTTTCTGCTCTGATGATGGATGCGATGATGAACAATGATGGTATGAATGTGACTTATAAGGTTGTGATTGTGTATCTGGTGCTGTCTGATGAAGCGGCCGCTGAGGTAGTGGTTGAAGTTGTGACTCCCGTGGTAAATTCTGTTGGTATCCATGTGATTGATATGGAGGCGGCATATATATTGGCAATAGACTGTTGCTTTGTCCAACATTTTCACCTGGTTGAATAGCCACATAACTCGAGTTTCCTTGATTCATATCTGAAGATGTGTATGATTGATGTGCAGCAGGTAGATAAACGATACATGGTTGGGGCTTTGTAACTTGCTCTTTAAGAAATCTATACGTAAAGCTCACGGTACCTTTTTTCCCATAAGGACCCGTCAAAGCGTGCGTCTCCAACTTCATACCATTGGCATCACCGTTATTCAAAGGAAAAGGCGGATTTGAGCCCAATAGCTCTTGAATTGAGAGTTTGACTACTCCAATATCTTTATCACCAAGGAATGGCCGGTGGCTCCTCAGTACTATGAGGAGAGTCAAACGTTTTTCTCGAGCTAAGTTCCCGTCCAGGATAAACTCAGTGGCATGATTCCACTTTGGATTTATATATGCGGAGAAACTAATAGGGGTTTTGACCCTCTGCTTAACTTGTTTGTCTTTGAGGATGACAACAGAAGCGTAAACGTCCATCGCTGAGAAGGAATTGACATCTTTAATGTCCTTGGCATATTTGATCACGAGCTCTAGGATCAGTTTGGCCGTGGTGTTTTGAAACTGAGGGGTAAATGCGAGAGGCTGGCCTGATCTTAGTGGATCCGGGTTTTGGTAAACGTGTTGATCAAACGATGGCGAGTAGTCTGGAGGATACAAATCATCAACTGGTACAGGGTTAAACCGGTAGGAGAGGCTCAGGTTTGAATTTGGCTTTGTCTCTCCGATGAATTTGACAGGGTAAATCACGGACTTCATTCTATTGACGTTACCATTAGCAAATGGTGGAACCGGATTTAGGGTAAGAAGCTCTTGAACCGAGATGTTGACTTCTCCTAAATAAAGGTCACTGTCTCCTTCTAGCCAATAGCTATATAACTTGACTTCAATATTCAATAAGCCTTCGTTGGCTTCTCTCTCGTTGATGGAGAACTTGACGGTGTGATTCCACGTTGGATTGGAATCACCGTCGTAGTCAATGGGAGTTTTGGCCGCTTGTTTCTTTTGACTATTTTCGCCATAGATTGAAACGACGGCGTATACGTCCATCTTGGCCGTGGCATCGAGATGGCTGACGTCTCTGGCTGATACAAGTTTGAGCTCAAGAGTTGGGTTCTCTATGGGTGTTTGGGAAATCATTTTTAGAAACTCTCGTCTTGTCCTATCTTTGTATATATGAAATAAGAGTAGTATAAGACATCGATATTTATATACAAATTGTGTGATGACATCTTCTTCTTGAGTTACAAAGTTAAAGAAAGATAACGTGGATATCATTCCTTGAGTCAACGTTAGTTTAATATACATCAAATTGGCGATTGATATTGTAGATAAACGCCTTGTTGTAGACTAAATATGCTATTACAACACACACACACAAACATTGTCAAATACTAGTCTAACCATATAGGAAAATCATAGTCTGTTTGGTAAAATAATCCGTTCCCAACATTTACTACAGTATTGTAAAATAAAATGAATTTTAAGCTCAACAAATCTGTCAAAAACATAATTGTTCCAAGCAAAATTTTCAAACTTGTTCGATACATTTGACACTGAAAGTCTGAAACACTCTTTCTAAATGAAAGACTTACACATATTTTTATTTGGACAAACTTGAAATCAATAAATATTCTTTAAATTCTTGAAATTATATTTCAAGCTCAACACCATTATATAGTTCTGCAATTAAACCCTATAATTTATATTACATATGCGTATATTTACCAAATACTTTTACGAGTACATATAACGTTTTTAGAAGAGAGCTTTTTTTTTGGGGGTACATAACTACATATAACGTTTTACGTATTTTTTTTAGAAGAGAGAGTTGATCTATATTTTTACTCCATACAAATGATGAGTATTTGGAACATTTTCCCAAAGAAACACGGGAATATTCAAGTCGCATTGGTTAAATTTGGATAATCGAAATTGTTTGAGTATAAAAAAAAAAAAAAAGAAAAGAAAGAAACACGGGAGTAACATGTCTCTATATGTTGAGTGGTTTCCCTCTAGCATACATATATAATATAGCATACGCGACCAAAAACAGAGAGATGTATTCAAAAGTTGGCACATATATCGAATGAATAATAAAATATTAGGAGTTGGTATTTCTGCTATTCTATATAGAAGAAAAAGACGAGAATTCGAATAATTAATAGACAACTTTCATAAGCTTCATTATATAATACTTTTGTTTTAAGTAAAACCATATAATAGAATTTTATTTTAATCAGTGGTTTGACAACCGATCGATACATGATAAACTATATAAAAGCCCCGAGACGCTTAATTATCGTCCTAGCAACAGAAGAGAGTTGGTCATAGACACTGATCTCGTCATAAACTTCAGGTGACTCTTGGAAATTGAGTTTTTGGAGATTCTCTCTGCAAGTTAGAGGATAGCTTAGCGTAGTATTCACCAAAACGATGGCTTTGTTGATATTACGGATAATCACACTCTGCTTGACTTCATCGAGTTGTGGTTTTGCAATCTTAATGCCTGCGATGCATTCACCCAAAACTTTCTGAACTGTTGCACTCACATTTTTCCTCCACGATATACTCGTGACGCTACAACGTACGAAATGAAAAAAACAATTGAATAGTCCATCGTTATTATGAGATATATAAACGGCAAATGTATTATTATTATTGTTATTTAGTAAGATGTTAATGCTATACTATTATATTATGATGCTAAAATTTTCAGGGGGAGTCATATTTGGAAGAGAAAAAAAAAAGTTTGAACAGAAGGCAAATTAGTTTACAACAATGTTTTTAATATGGATGTAGAGTTTTTTAATCACAAAAAAAAAGATTTAGAGTCAAAACGAAGGAAGAATCAAGGGATTGAGGCTTAATATAAGACTCGTAACAGATATTTTTCAAAATCTACTAGAAAATACGTTGAAATAAACTTTGTGCGTTATTGATTTATGATTTAATAAAACTTACAAATTGAGGATATGGAGTTGGGATTCGAGACAATGTATAACGGCTTGGGCGGATCCAACACTGGCGGCATCATGGCACTCAAGACATCTGATGCAAGTGCCTCGGTAATATGTGAAGCGACACTCACTCTCCAGCCAATCATCCTCAGCTCCATTCGATATGACAAGAAGTGATAAAAGCAAAACCTTGATCATCATGAGATAAGTCATTTCTTTCTCTCTCTCTTGCTCTTTTTTTTTATTATAGGCTTTTCTTATGTTTGATGTTTTGTGGTGGTGATGCGTTGATCAAGAGATGTTTACTGCCTATTTAAACTAAGAACCTAGAGATTTGATTGGGCTACAAGTCACTATCTCTTTTAATGGAGTTTTATGAGGTGGTAGCTCGATTGCAACCTCTTTTTTGCCCTTCGTAGTGCAATTTCTCATATTTTCAACACATAATTAATGTATGCTGCAAATCTTAATTTGCTTCTCTTGGCTACAAAAGATAATACATCGGATTCCTTGGGATGTTGGGACATGTAGCAAAGTGAATACATGGGCTTTAACTTCAAGGTTCATAGACTTTAAAGGCCTCGTAGATTGTAAAATTTCATACTGTAACACGAAGAGTTTCACTAAGAAAAAAATACAACCAAGTGGCTCAAAAGCATATCTCTTGTAAATCTTCTTCACTATCTAGACTGATGAAGTTTCTAAAAATACTGGCTATGTAAATCACAAAATCTTAAAGTGACGATTTATTGGAGAATATCATTTTTAGATGTCATATTGTTAAGGAGATCTCGGAGAGATCGAGTTGAAAGGGAGTTAATATTTGTGTATATTCTTTATTAACTAAATAGTTAGATTTCCATTATCAAAATGTAAAGAATTTGCTAGTGAAGTTCTTTTGTATAAATAAGCTTAATTGAGAGAAACTGTTATACTTATAAAGTTTCCTCCAAATTTATCATGGTAGCAGAGCCATAGCCAAATCATACAAATTTTGATTTTTATTCGATCTTTGAACCGCTTTTTATCATCTATGATGATTTCTTATTTTACAATCATTTAGAAAAGAAAAAAAATCAACTTCTCTCCTTGATGTTTTCATCTACCTTATTCAATAACTTCTTCTACCTTATTCAATAATTTCTTCTACTTCTATTTTATTACTAGAGTTCGGATGATGTTTTTTTTTAATTGTCAAAAATATTTAAACGATCAAATTAGAGGAATTAATGATTGTGCTAATAGCTATTTAAAAATAAAACCTGCGGTGCATCAATCTTTTTCTTACAATAACCAACTAATTAATTATATTACAAAGAATATCACAAAGACAAGTTAAGTGAATAAAAGGAAAAAAATAAGTTAAGCTACTAAGATTGGAAATTAAAAGTTTAACAACCAAAGCAGGAAATTAAATGAAGAAATTAAATGAAGAAATTCACTTCTTATTCCACCTTTTCCTCTTCCTTCACCTTTTCCTTTCTCTGGTCATCGTTGTCTTAACATCTCTTATTCTCCAACGGCTTGCATTCTTGTACATTCAAAAGAGCTCTCCAAGCCCACTTTTATCTCATTTTACAATTCTTCATCTCAACGCAGCCACGTTGAATCCGACACCTAACAACATGTAAACCGTATTGAGAAAATCCAAGTCGCTGGATATTATTAAATGTTGGCCGGAGGATTATTTTTAGTTTTCATGTGTTTATTTGGTTAACATTTTGTAGTTTTTTTAATGTGCATAATTAGTTCATTACTTCATTATAATGTTTTTCATATATATATATATATGGAGTGATATTGGTTGTATAAGTTGAAATCAACAGATCTCATTTGAAAAAATAACTCATGTAAAATTTAAGATATATTAATTATCTAAAAAATTTAAATGATGTGGCAGTGTATTTAGAAAGTTAATAATTGAATTTCATAACAAATGGAAAAAAAATAATCAAAAACATATAAGAAACATAAAATTAGCTTCAAAGTCCAAACTTTTTAGGAAAGTTCTTTGTTAAGCTCCTTTCGAAAGTCCTTGCAAAACTTCTGATGAAACTTTCTCCCAAGTTCGTTCTTAATCTCCAAGTAAAATTCCATCTAGTGATGAACATGCTACGCCTTGTAATCAAATGATAAATCAATTGTCTCAAAACCGTATAAACACACAATTTTTATTACGAAAGCAAGCTAAATGATTACATACCTTATTCTTCTTTTGGTTGACCACATAGACGCTTCATGACTGATTTGTACACATCAATTTTGTTATCACTTCATTCTTACAGATCGAATGTGTTATAACCAGTGCCGTGCTTAGATTCATTAAGGCTTTAGGTGAATCGGAAAAATGTGGCATTTTAGTTTCATAAATATTAAAATATAATATTATCATTAAACACACAATAATACTACTTTAACATATTTTTTATTTTCTTATCATATTATACATTATTATAACATTTGTTAATATATGTGGATCCATATCTATAAAAATGAAAGATATCAATAACAATACTACTGTTATAAAGTTTTCCAAAGAACATCCTAACCATGTTTACCAAATTATCTATATAAAAAAACTTAGCTAAAAAAAATGTGGCCCTCTTATTTTTTTAATTTTAGTGTGGCTTTAGGCAAGTGCCTAATTTCTAATACTATAGGCACAGCTCTGGTTATAACCCCACCATGACACGTCTATCTTTTGTTTGATGCAGATTCATAAGGTTGCTTTCGTCTATTATGATCATTTGGTTTCCCCCATTTTCTTCATGGTGGTGCTGGCAAGATAGGAAATATATTGCAGCTTGGCCACAGCTTCATCCTTTGAACATTTCAAATCTTTCTTGAGCAACCACTTTTTCAAGTGGTGATGAATCATTTAACTCCTCTTCTCCATCTCTACCATCACCATCCTCCTCGTTCTTTGCTTACTGCTTCCCTTGAGTTTTGTCTTCAAGCCAAAATCAAAATAAATATTCATTTTTCTTCAAAAGGGATATCTACTCATTTGTAACAACTACATTTTACATAAACGTATATAAACACAAAAGCAATACAAAATAAATGCAATCCACAGATAGAAAAATGTATATATTTCTTGCAGAGATGATAAAATTTTAGAGAGTGTTGAGTAGAAATGTTGAGAAACTTGAAATATAATGGTTGAGTAGAGAGTGTGCTTTAATACTTATAAGAAATTTTCATTTTCATAATAATAATGAATTCCTTTGATATAACGTATGTAATTAAACGATAATAGAATTATGTTTTCTAACTTTTCAAATATCACAATTATGACTAAGTAAATGTCATTAATATTGAAAAGAACCCTGATTATGTATATTCAATGTACAAATCGAATGCTACTAAGTGAGTAAAATGGTTTTCTAACATAGTTTTAGGAAGTTATGTTCTATATGCGAGTTGGTGATCTTGTGCAATCAAAATTTTTTTTCAAATTTTTTTTTATCTAGAACAATAATAATAATTTGTGTTAGAATTAAGAAAAAATGAAAAATATTTTGAAAACTTTAATTTTATTTTTAAAATTTTAAAGAGGTGCCAAGTGGTCCAATAAAGAGAGAGTGAACCCCTACTTTTATCTATATGATTCTATTTTATTCTTCTTTTCTTCTTTTAATTATTGAGTTGATTTTTCCAAAAAAAAAATAGAACTTTAAAAAACGTTTGGTGATTATGGGACTATGAGCACGAACCTAATGACAAGATATCTTGTAGAAAACATCACATATTCCTATCAGATATTTCATCAGAAAATCGTAGGAAACCGGCTTTTCCTACCAATTTCCTACCAAATATTTTTGTAGGTTCTATGCCGTCGGAAATTTTCAAAGGTAGAAAAATCGTAGGAAATTTCCTACGAAAATTTTGGTAGGAAAATTTTGGCGGTAGGATATTCGTAGGAAAATACCTACCAAATTACTTCCATCTTTCTACGAAATATTCCTATCATTTTCCTACCACTTGCCAGATTTTGTAAAAAATAAAATTAATTTTATAAATTAAAAAAATAAATTAATTTCAGAAATTAAATTTAAATTAAAAGATGAATTAACTATTAATTTGATTATTAATATATATATATATAAACAAATTAATTAAAGGAGAGATGAAGATCTTATTTATAGAACAGCTTCATCATCCAAATTGTCTCAGATCATCGATGTGGGACAAAACCAAAGTTGAAATGTTCCTACAAAATTCCTACGATTTTCTTATACATAATATTTCGTCAGAAATTGGTAGAAAATTTCCTACGAAATACTTACCAGTATAATGGTCAATTGTATCCTACGACTTTCCTTTCAAATTTTGACCACGTGGTAGGTTATTGGTAGGAAATATCCTACGAAATTTCGACAAAATTTTTGGTAGGAAATTTCCTACCAATCTCTTATCACTTTTACTTTTTGTCAAAATTACGTAGAAAAATTGGTTATAAAAATTTCCTACCAAAAATTTCGTCAAAAATTTCATAGGAATATGAGATGTTTTCTAGTAGTGGATGTTGGAAGAGCGACCCAGACTTCAAGTTCTTTACCTCAATGATTCGGCAATATACTGCCTTATGATTTTTAAGTGTTACCATACGTGTTACCATACTGCCCTATGTAGCAATATACTGCCTTATGATTTTTAAGTGTTACCATACGTGTTACCATACTGCCCTATGTAGCCATACGGTCCATAACCTTGCTGATACGGTGGAGCACGATGTTGCTGCATGATGGTACGCCTGACCGGAAATAACCGGCAACCCACTCAACCGGTACGAGAAACTCAAAGAACCTTTCATTCTCCGGATCTCCCCGACGGAGTTCTCACCTGATCCATGCCATGGCCATTACCGTTACCGTAAGTTGACGGCAAGAGGTAGACTGACGGAACCTCGACCTCACCAATATGTTTATCGCCTAGACGTCGACTGGAGAACAATTTTATCGTCAAACGACCTTCACGGGCTAATTTCTCATCGACGGAAAACTTGACGGCGTGATTCCAATTAGGGTTGGATCCACCGTAGCAATCGACGGGGGTTTTGACTTTCTTTTCACTTTTGTCGCCCAAAAGGGTTATAACTGCGTAAACGTCCATCTTTGTGATGTGGTTGACATTTTCAAGGTCACTTGCTGAGTTGATGTTAAGCTCTAAGGTTGGATTCAACATGGGAACCCAATGCAACATGCCAACATATATATAGATGGGTTTATAATCGTTACAAAATAATATATATTGTAGAGGAAAGCTTTGTTGTGTTGTTCTGAAGTCATGATGAGACAATTTATAGAGACGTTGCAGTGAGATTTTTTTTTTTTTGGATATCAAGAGGTGTAACAATGAAATATTTATGAGAAAACGTTATTACAATAAATAAAACGTGTAAATTTTAACTGAAAAATTAGGAAGAAAACAATGAGTTAATCGAAACAAAATTTTATTTTCGATTGCAAAAAGTATAAAATCCAATGCATTAATTAAGAAATGTTTTTTAAACAAAAAATAAGAAAAATTAGATGTGGATGCATGCATGTACAATGTACACAAGTGCATGCGCGGTTGAAAGGGTAAAAACGAAATGAGTTTATGGCGCGGTTGAAAGGGTAAAAAAAGTTTGAGTTTATGGGTTTGCTTAATATATGAAAGTGAAAAACAAAAATGGACTGGGTTCAAATTTAACAAACCCATAAACTTATAACAAAAATTAAAATTAAAAAGTGGTGTCGCCTAGATCCTTTTTTTCGTAAAATGGGTCCCTCATTGAGTATGTGATCTATTTATCTAATTTACCTGATCGTTTTTTTTTTGAAAAATTATGTTAAATTAATTTTTAAAAAAACTGTTTTTTTACATCTACTAACTTAGTTAAGGAGAGAAAGAAATAAAGCTACGAACACGAAAAGATTTGAAAGAAAACAGGTGTTTCATGGTTGTCATTGCGATCAGCTTCAGCTTTGTGAGCCAAACCAGATTTCAAGTCCATTAGCATATCGATAGTGTCTAACGTTGCGTAGAGAACTAAGTTGGTTGCGCATTGCTTTATCCAGGATGGTTTTGGTTCATCTCCATGTCTGCGTCCATTTCGTTCCTTCCATATCATCACAAGTGAAGATGTACCTTGGAAGGTACATTTGCGTCCCTGCCAATCGCGTAGATATGAGCAGTTCCACAATCAATCCCCATCTGTTGGAATAGGCACTCCCCAGCAATCTCGATGTTAGCGATCTCTAAATCTGTTCTGAAAATTGGCATTCAAAAAATAAGTGTTATCTAGTTTCAACTGTGTCCAAACAGAGTACACATCTAGTAGATATTCCTAGTCCCCATTGTGCCATTATTTCCTCAGTAGATAGTCGATTCTGCATAGCAAGCCACGTTATAAAGGCATATTTGGGCGTATTCCCCGGAAACCAAACTACAGAGCTCCATCACTTTATAGAAGCTGATTGCCTGGTGTTGTGCCATGTGTTCTTGGGCGAGAATTTAGAACTGTAGGAATCAGTTTTTGCTTTCCACAGCGAGCGATCTTCGTTCTGATTCAAAATCCCTGCAGTCAAAGAGATAACATCTTCGATTGAATTCAGGTCATCACGCCGATGTCTCCTGCGTTGATGAGATCGTACAACTGATGCAATAGAGGCAAACGGAGATATCCCTAAGGCGATAAACCCCGACACCCCAGCAAGCTCAATTAATGGACCCAGATCACTCCAGACATCGTACCAAAACGATGTTTCCTCCCCATTATTCACCTTCATGCGATGTAAAGGTCGTGCAGTGCTTCTCATTCTGAGTAAATGGCGCCATATCCATGATCCAGTAGCTGGATCCTCCATTAATGACCAGAAGGATTTACCTTTAAGTAAATATTCTTTGATCCATAAACTCCATAGCGAACTATTGTTTGACAACAATCTCCAAATAATTCACAAACAGCAAACTGTATTTGCTTCCCGCAGAGAACGGATACCCAAGCCTCCTTCTCTCTTTGGCTTGCAAACATCTTGCCATGAAACTTTGGCTTTTTTTGTGCTCAACGCAGGTCCCGACCATAAAAAAGCACTGCATAGAGACTCTAATTCCTTTATGCAGCTTTTCGGCAATTGAAATGCCTGCATCCAAAAATTAGTTAGCCTCAAAATAACAGAGAGCAAAATTTGGAGTCTCCCTGCATAAGACAAATGTCTAGCAGTCCAAGATCCTATCCTTTTGCGCACGCCTTCCACTAATGGTGCATAGTCGTCCCTTCCCATCTTTTTGGACATCAAAGGGAGGTCCAAATATCGAACAGATAGTTCACCTATAACAAGAGGAAATCGATCAATAACAGATACATGATCTGCATCATTAACACCCGACATGAATAATGTTGATTTCTGCAAACTGATCGTCAACCCTGATATGGTGGCAAAATTCTCAAACACTTCTACAATCCCTTCTATAGATCTTAACTTTCCATATGAGAATACCATCAGGTTATCCGCGAAACACAGATGAGTGAGGTTCAACTTAGAGCAGTGTTTGTGATAGCCAAACCGTTGTGCTTCAGCTGCTCGATCTAATATACGTGATAACACATTCATACAGATGACAAAAAAGTACAGCGATAACGCACAATCTTGTCGTAAACCGCAAGTGCTTTGAAAATAACCTGCTAATTCGCCGTTCACCTGAACTGAGAATGAGGCAGAGGTAATACACAATCTGATCCATTCAATAAACCTGGTTGGAATTCTGAGGGCCTTGAAAACATTTATCAGGAAGCTCCATTGGACAATATCAAACGCTTTAGCTATGTCAATCATTATTGCACATCTAGGCGTACCATTCTCCTTGTTATAGTCTTGAACCAGTTCAGACGCTAACAGAACATTCTCTACTAGAAGACGATCTTTAACAAACGCATACTGGTTTGGGACAATTCCACTTGGGAGTATTCGCTTCAACCGATTCGCCAGAATTTTCGAAATAATCTTATAGAGAACATTACAGCATAAAATTGGGTGGTAGTCTTTCATCTCCTTCGCGTCGTTCTTTTTCGGAATCAATGCCAATATTGTCGAGTTCACTCCTTTGGAAAGAAAGCCTAATCGGAAAAATGACTGCACAGCAATAGTTACATCCCTTCCTATTATACTCCAAGTACCTTTAAAAAACTCAGTCGTAAACCCATCTGGACCTGGGATTTGTTATTGGGCATCAAGAACAGTACTTGCATAATTTCATCTGCAGTGACATCACGCACCAAAAGTGCGCAGTCATCAGATGAACATCACGTATCCAGCAAGCTTTCCAAATCTGCAACTTCTATTTCTTGATAGTCTGAAGGAATAGATGTTAGAAATTCGCAAAAGTGCCTCTCAGCTTTCACCTTAATGTCGCTCAATTCCCTTAAGACAATCCCGTCAAAGTTTACAACCTCTCTTATGGTGTTCCGATGTTCCTTTATATGCACAGCCCGAAAGAAGACTTTGTTGCTCTTGTCACCAACTTTCAGCCAATGGAGCTTAGATTTTTGCTTCAGATAACCCTCCTCCAGCTCACTAAGTCGTTCCCACTTTGACAAAGCCAACAGTTCCGCTTCCATACCTGTCACAGTCAGAACTGAAGCATTATGTTTCTGCCTCCGACAAAGCTCCTCGAATGCAGCTTTAGTTCTCTTGGACAGATCACTAAACCGCTCCTTGGACAGCTGACGGAGTCTTGGCTTCAAGTCCTTTAGCTTCTTAGTTAGATGATGCATTGCCTATGTCAAAGAAAACATAGCATTTGATTGATCCCAATGGTTATGCACTACTGGTAAGAACTCCGGTAGTGGCGCCAGTGAGTTCAGAAATTTGAATGGCTTCCTGACAATTGGTCTTGTGTTATCAAAATAGATCTTGCCTCGCAAATGATCCGAGCAGCCTCCAGCCTCAAAGACACAATAAGATTTCGACTGATTTAGTAACCATTCCTCATTGATTAGGACTCTGTCAATCTTCTTATGGATTAATCCCTCTTTTCTTTTATTGCTCCAAGTAAACCATGCCCCATGCAATCCCATATCAACCAAAGAACATACACGAACTGTTTCCTGAAAGTCAAGAATCCCATGTGCTCCAAGTATCGGAATTGAATCAGAGTGATCTTCACTAGCCAATATCTCATTGAAATCACCACAAATCATCCATTTCTTATCTATGCAAGCAGTGGAGCTGTGGAGCAATTTTATCTCTTCCCATAAACCCTTATGCTCAGATGCAAAATTTGCAGCATAAACAAAAGAACATATAATTTCCTCCTGATCCCCAAAGGAAATTTTACATGTAATCATTTGTGCATTTTTCTGTAAAACTGTGAGGTTGACGTCTTCATGCCACACTACCCAAATTCGATCCAGCTGATTATACTTGTAGTTAGACACCACTGACCAACCCGGGAAAACAGACGATGCGATAGCAACATGCTTAGATTCTTTTACTCGCGTCACCCAATCCCCCACCACCGAGTGCTTACACTTATTATTAAATCCACATATATTCCAAAAAAGACACACCATTAATGGTTATTTCTTTTGGTATTCTGCCTCTTCTGCGCCGACGCCTTACGACCATTGCTCGTAACGCGTGGAATTAAAGAGCTCGGTACACCTTTATGGGCAGTCTTAGCCGCTCTGCTGGGATTAGCTCGACTCTCCTCCTTACCCAATTAATGCCTTAACTGATCTCCATCAGCTCCAGCAAGCAGTTCATTAGATTTTGTATCCGTGATCTATCCCGTCTCCCGTCTCCACCTCCATTTTTTTTTATTTATCCCCACTCTGCTTTGAATCCTCAAAATCTGCATCTTCTCCTTCACTGTTTTCTGTCTCCTCAATTTGAAGGTTTGCGAATCGTGAAGAAGTTTGAATATCCACGATCTGTTGTGCCACTACTAATGATTTTCTAGTCACTTTGGATGGTGACTGCCACTCCTCATTAACCTCTTGGGATGCTGGCACTACTACAGTGTTTTTTGGTTAAGGTGTACTTTGCTCATCAGTATCCATGCTTGGAGGCGTAGGTTTATTAGTGTCCGTTGCCTTCTTCTTTGATTTAGTAGCAGATGAGACAAGCGTTGAAATGGCCCTCTCAACTGGAACAGTATCCGTTGGTCGTCCTGCATTCTGGGATCGTGGAGTACGACATGTAGCGTCATTTACTTTGTTTTGGGTATCCAACATTTCACCTCTTTGTAAAATTCTCAGGGGATTCTGTTTCTTTTTGCACTCCATATCAGCATGGCCCCATACCCCACATAAAAAGCATTTTGGAGGCAACCATGGAAAAACATACTCAATTTCAGTTGTGTCCTTCCCCAATTCAAAGCAATGTGACGTTGGAAGAGTTTTGGTCAAGTCCACTTCCACCAAAATTTTTGCTTCATCAAAGTTCTTAACTCAAACAGTTTCGGAATGCAGCTGTTTCGGAACTCCCACCGGACTTGCCAAAACAGCTCAAACATTTCCAATTGTACATCTTGCGAGGTACGTTTTTCAAAACAACCCACAAGGGGATTGATTCCAGAGCCGGTTGAGTCTCCTCGTCGATCGGGCTCCATTTAGAAACTAGCATTGAAATATTTTTGATATTCCACATCTTCCTTCGCAGCACTCTCTCCCTCACTGCTCGGTCCACAATGCGAAATTTCACCGTTGTATCATTTACCACGTAAACGTCAACCTTGATCGCTTTATTTCCCACAGACCAAATCTTATTCACTGTCATGTGAATAGAACCAATATGAGGCGCTGTCTTGAGGAATTTCCCCAGAATACAGTCTTTCCACATTGGTGCTTCACTTAACATATCCTCGGGAACCCTAAACATCTTCACTCCCTCAACTTCGTTAGTTTCCAGATCATACATCTGAAGCGATTCCCTCTTTCTTACTACTTCCGTCCACTTTGTCGCAGGGTTTGAGTCTTGTGACATACCGTCTGCAACAGTTTCGTCGTCTCCAGGATCGCGAGATCCTCTGCTTCGCTCGTTAAATTTTCCGTCGGCCCCTCTGCTTGAGATTTGATAACCTCCACACCAGTCACCCCATCGTTCTCCACACTAGCCACCATCATCGTCTGCCCCTCCTCCGGTGACGGGAGGACCTCCTGTCCTTGCGCCGTCATGGTCGGAGCCGTCGCGTGCCCTTGAAGTTTTGATAACACTAAATCGCCTCTTTGATCGCCTCTACTGCTGACGTGTCCTACTCTATGTAGTCTTGCGGTTTTTTTCTTCTATCCCAATTTACCTGATCGTTTAACATGTTGGTCATTGACTAATTGTTATAGCAATTTACATTCCTTCAAAAAATGAATTTATCGTTATCATTAATACTTTTATACCAAGATAACTGGATTTCGAATTCCCAAAAAAAGAATTATTATTACATTTGTATAAAATAGTAGAAACAAATTTACAGAAAATCTTGAACATGGTATAATATTTATATTTATACAAGATTAATAGAGAAAAATCTATTGTCCATCACACCATTAACCTTGTAATCTATCTATATTCTATCTCTGTGAAAATTCTAACTGTGTTTTGAACTTTTCATACTCACCATTAATTAGTAGCAAATTTAAAATTTTTTTTTATTGGAAACACTTTTAATGAAATACATATTTTTTTGGATAATATGTTACATTTTTTCTATAAATTTATTAAAATAATATATTAAATTAATTTTTTAAATTTTATTTAATATAAATAATTAAATAAAAGTAAGGGACACTTGATCCTATACCGATTGCTCCTAGATGTACCTACGTCTACCCCAGCCAATGATGGCTCGCTTATATCTTCCCAATCATAGTTCGATCATCATCTCACCCACCATCCGAACTCATCATGTCTCTTCATCCTTGTCTCAATCAAAGACCAACATTTTACGTTATAAATTTATGCCTAGAGATCAAATTTGTGCATATACATACCAACAATAGAACTTAGGCTTCAAACAGTTTTATAAAACAACAAATCTCTCCTTCGTCCTTTGTTTTCTTTATAATTCCTTGATATATGCTCTCCTCTCCAAAACATCTCTATATTATTTTCATTGATACATGCCATTAAAAGTAACAATCAAACAAAATAGAAGAAACATACCTTTGATGAATTCTTGTAGTTAAACAAGAAACAAAAAAAAAAAAAAAAAAAATCAAAGATCAAAACAATTTGCCACGTCAGACACTAAATCTCCCATCATCAGCCCACCCAGAAGCCCAGCTCCCAATCCAAGCCCAAGCCCTATCCCCTTCGGCGGTTGAGACGTCGGAGTTCCGTATCCATATCCCGCCGGTGAAGGTGGCGCATAATCGTACGGTCCATACCCATGGTGGCTCGGTTTTGGCGGCGAAGAGCAAGCGTAACCGGATTTATCGTAAGGCGATGAACCAGCGCCGTAGGATATTGGAAGAGGATCGAAGCTCGAGCCGGCGGCGACGAGACGTTTCCGATGATCGGAATCGATCTGACACCGCGGCTTAGACAGCTGACAAAACTCAATAGCCGATTCTGGTGGTGCATGGGGCGGATGCTCGATTTGCGACGGTGGTGGAGCAGATAAGTAACCTGACGGCGGAGGATAATCGATTGCCGGAAAATCCGCCGGGATAACCGGTTCAACCGGCGTCGTCTTGAACCGGTACGAGAAATTCAAAGTGCCTTTCCGTTTCCCCGACGGAGATTTCACCTGATACGTCACGGACGTCATCTCCTCGCGGTAACCGTCACCGTTAATTGACGGCGTGATCGAATCCAAAAGCTCAAGTAACGGGACGTTAACTCCTCCGATATGTTTGTTGCCAAGGACACGACGAGAGATCAATCTCATGACGAGAGTCGAACGTCCGTCACGAGCTAACCCCTCGTTGACGGTAAACTTGACGGCGTGATTCCAAGTTGGGTTAGATCCGCCGGAGTGATCGACGTCGGTTTTCACCTTCTGTTTCTCTTGGGTGTCATCGCCGTTAATGGCAATGACGGCGTAAACGTCCATCTTTGAGATGAGATTGACATTTGCAAGGTTACTTGCAGAGTTGATGTTTAGCTCTAGAGTTAGATTCGCCATTAGTGTCACTGGAAGGTGATGTTACAGTAGAAATTAGCTTAGATTAAATAATTAAAGGTGGAAGAAGCTTGATTTCTTTCGAATTACGAAAATGGCAGTGTGAACTAAATGTGGACAATTATATTAAATTCAAAATTAATGAGAAAAGAACAAAAATACAATTTAATGGATTCAAAAGAAAGAAATCGTTTCTTATATAAGATAAGAAGGGAAATATTATGAAATCCAATGCATGTACAAGAAAAGTTAAAAAAAAAAAAAATGAGAACAGTTTATAACCGAAGATATACAATTTTCATTGGTTCATCATGTAACAGAATTACATATTCTGGATATATACAAAAGCTCATGATGAAATACGTATATGGATTTACTTGTTCCATGGAAAAGAACAAATTCAGAGAGTTGGATACAGCTAGTGAATTAATGAATATTGGCTAAGTTTAGGGGGTGTCTTAAACCCATCACTAACAAAAATAAATAAATTTAGAAGACTAAACAAAAAATATAGTGAACTAAACAAAAAAAAAAAAAAGAAGAGTCCGAAAAAATTAACTGGCATAAACACAGATGTTAGTCATAAAATTATTTTTTATGTTAATCTAATTTGACATACTGTATTTTGATATATCATCTGACTAGAATTATTTTTCAATCTTTTTTGTCAGCTTCGTTAATTAGAAATTTAGAACTAAACAGTAAACTAGCAAAAAGAAACATTTAAAAGTATGATGCTGTTTTATATAAATCAAATTATAATAACTTAATATATTACGTATAATAGAAGCAATGATCATAATCACACCAAAAAAAAAAAAAATTAAAGCACACAACCTCACACTAGACTAATTCATAAACTGTCCACAAAGTTTCTAGAGACGGCCACAATCATATTTAGTATGACGAATCTGATCACGCCCAAACAATACTACCAACAACACAATAAACATAAGCCTCACAACATTTGACTGCGTTTGCAAGGAACGTCCGGTCAAATAAGTCTGCGTCGAAAGCCCAACTAGTCTCATCCTACGTTTTTCCACATACTCATCAATAGCTTCTTCAATGTTTTTCATCGAACAATCCTCTCCATGGTCCGGACCCACTTTCTTAGCTAGACATCTAGCAAGAACGACCGCATCCTCTAGCGCGGCCGAGCCACCTTGTCCCAAGAATGGACCCATCACGTGCATTGCGTCGCCAGCTACAGTCACAGTCCCACGACGGAATTTCCTGAACATGATCTCCCAAGGAGAACGGTACCTTAAGTGTGTTATTGTTAATGACTCTACGTCGCATTTTTGAACCATTTCTTGCCAGTCTTCCGATAACTTATCGACCCATTTGAGAGTCACGTTCGCGATGGATTCTTGATCTGTACCGTTGTGATGATTGTCTTGCATATGTACAACAAACCAAAAGACGAGGTTGTCGGTCAAAGGAAGCCTTCCCACTAAGACGTTTCCTGTTTTCATTCTTAGAAGCTCTTGTGGAAATCCATGGCCGTTTGGGTAATTGGTGAACCCTCTCACCGCACGACAAGCAAACGCTTTTTTCGGGCTTAACCGCAGATAGTCACTGACAACAGAATTCGCACCATCGCATCCAATCAAAACCTATGGGATCGGAGGAGCAAAATATTAATATTTTTAAGGTTACAATTGTTTCATTGCGTTTGCATCTACATTACTACATAAGACTATAAAAGCCTCTTGATATGCTAATTGTTAAGGTTTCAATTGTTTTTTTGCGTTTGCATGTGCATTAATTTGTAAATTTGTATTTACATTCTTATGTAAACGCAGGCCGAATTAGAGAGAGCTAGATAGTTTTACCTTGGCTTTAATCGTATTTCCATTGGTTAAGTGAACAACCGGAAACGACGTAGTTTCATCCTCCTCTATAGAAACAATTTGAGAACCGAACCGGATGGTTTCTTCAGGAAGAGCATCGGCTAAGGCCTCAACAAGATCGTTCCTTCTAATACAGCGAGCTTCATCTCTGTTTAATTGCAGTAATTAGATATACTTAAATGAACATCAAATATATAAATGATCGAATGAAGGAGAGGATATGGGACATACTCGATGTTTAAAACGAATTCTCGTTTTTTCCCATTTTCAATCAACATGGTCCGTGCCCTGTTCCCATAAAAGACAAGATCCAACAATCTCTTCAAACAGAAGCACATTTAGTATTTGCTTCCAAACACTTTTTTTTAAGTGTTTAAAAACAATTTTAATAATTATTTATATTTAAATTCGAAAATTAGTTATTAATTTAAATATTTTTAAAGTTCCTTAAATATAGGTAATTTATATTTGATTTGATTTGATTAATTTAGATTTCATTTAAAGATTCTAATTTAAATAATTTATATACTTTTAAACATTTTTATCAAAAATATCTAGAATTTTTGAAAAAAAAAAATTCACATATGAAAAATAATGGTCATATTTGAAATATAAAATATTTATAATGATGTAAATGATATGATATTTATGTTGTTTATATAATATATTTACGATTATGATTTATTTACAAATTAATAATAAAATAATAGGTAAAATTCAAATGTATAATTTAAATATTAAAAATATATTTTTTAAAATTCATAAAACTAAAAATATATATAAAAAACCGGATTAAAAATATTTTGGTAACTAATATCACTAATTTTGAATTATACATGTATATCGAAAATATATTTTTCATACAAAATCAAAACATAAAAAATTAAAAATTATTGCATACAATATAATGTGGTTTGAAAAACCAGTTGTACACTCCCTTCTTTGATTAAATTTTAGAAAACTATAGTGCTAAATATTTATATTATATGGTGATATGAACGAAAAATTAGAATTATGTTTTTATAATAATTCATTTTAAATTAATATTAGCAGACGGGTTAAAATTATATTTTTATAATCATAATTAATTTTAATACTATAAAAATATATCTAAACACAAAAATCAATATTTTCACTTATTAAAAAATATATTTATAAAAATAGTTATATCTAAACTCAAAAACATAAATTATATTACAAAATTTGTTAAACAATAAAAAATATTCCTGTGCGGATGCACGGGGTTAAAATCTAGTAAATTCTTAAAATCAAAGGTATGATCACTAATTAATAGCAAAAACTAAAAAAAAAAAACTGAATTAGAATAATTACTTGCGAATAAGATTAGAGGTGAGACGAAGCCGATGAGAGACGCCAAGCTGATCAAGAGCTCTCCAACCATTGGTAAGAGTTCCGATTCCAGCTCCTTCCGATCTCACTTTCTCTGCTCTCTCCAACACAACACTCTTTATTCCTTTTCTGCATTTTTTAAAAAAATAATATACACTCCAAAATTACATACATTTCATTCCGAGTTAATGTGGCAATTAATTAAACTGTATTTTCAAAAAGAAATAAAAATAACAAACCTATGAAGGGCAAGGGAGGTGGCCAGACCAGCAATTCCGCCGCCGACGATAACAATTCCGATTTCTTCCATCTATTTTAGTAGTTGAAAGCTGAAATTTTGGATCTGGAGTTTAGTTTAAGTACTGTATTTTTTGTCTGATGTGTATGTAATATAGTTGGATTTGTTTATATAGATAAGAGAGAAGCAGAGAAGACTTTTCGTTGAGACAATAACTTGGGAAGCAATCAAGTCACGTGTGTGTCAGGTTAAGCTCGATCGTTTGCGAGTCAAACATGTGCTACGTTTATGCAAGTAAGTTGACGTTGACGAAAGCGATGACGCCACCTAAAATTTAATTCATCTTTCTGATATATCCAACCAAGTAGACTAGTTGTACATAAATATGTCGCTACTTGTTGTAGTGACTGTGACTCGATACTTATCTTTTTCTCATAAGTATCGAATTGATTCAAAATCAATCTTATACCTTAAAATTTTGATACTAGAACAAAGATGAAAAATTCAAATTTTATGATGACCCAACAGTTTGGAATGTTGAGAAAATGATTTTAAAATTTGGCTTTTCTTTAGTGAATCTAAGTGGTGAGACGGATAAAAAATGATAAATGATATAAAATCAGAAAAACCAAAAAAAATCTATATAGAAGTTGACAAATGAAAATATTTCTTACATAGTAATTACAAAGTAATTTTTATATAAAATAAAAAAACCTGTTTAATAAGGTTTTTTTTTTGTCTTTGACAAGTGAGAAAGACTATTATCATATACGTTTTTTTTTATCTACTAATAATAGTAGATAAAAACTACTAATATCATAGTTCCATAATCGAACATATAAAGAGAAGAACAGTAAACACAATGAGTAACCTCCGGATACAATTATACAAACATCTCATCATGAGTCTTGAAACACACAAACACTCTTACTTAGATCATGGATCCATACGTAAAATATAGATCAATTAATATTTTAAAGACGGCCACAATCATATCGAGTGTGACCAATTTGGTCACGAAACATAATCATCAACAAAACTACAACCAAGAGCTTCGTCACCGGCGACGAAGCTTCGATTAACCTACTCGTAAGATACGTCTGTGTTGAGAGCCTCACGAGTCTCCCTCTTCTTTCTCTAACGTAATCATCAATCGCTTCTTCTATTCTCTTCCTTGAAAAGACATTGTTCATACCGTCTTGCCCTAACTTTCTCCACAAGCATCTAGCCAAAACGACACCGTCCTCCAGCGCAGCCGAACATCCTTGTCCTAAGAATGGACCCATCAAGTGCATACTGTCTCCGGCCACTGTCACAGTGCCACGTCGAAATTTACCGGACATAACATCCCATGGAGCTCGGTACCTTAAACGGTTGATATATAAGGAGTTGATATCGCAGTTCTTCACCATCTCTTTCCACTCTTGTGAGAAGTCGTTGACTGATGATAGTGTGAATCTTGCGATATCCTCTTGATTTCTCAAAAAGTTTGAGTCTATTTATATAACAAATTCATCATATATATATACGTCAATGAAATTTAAAAAATTATCAATTTTCTTACATAAAGTTAGAACACAATATCTTTATATATGTATTAAAACAAATGTTACCATATAAAATTGTACCTTGTGGACACTTAAGCAAAACAACAAACCAGAAGACGAGTTTGGGAGTTATAGGAAGTCGTCCGCTTACGACGTTGTCCATCTTGATTCTTATAAACTCTTGCCGGAATCCATGGCCGTCCGGATAGTTTGTGAACCCTCTGACCGCCCGAGAACTTAGGCTTTTAGTTGGCTTTAGTCCTAGAAATTCAGATACCACAGAATTCGACCCGTCGCATCCAATCAAAACCTAAACTAAAAGAAAGTATATACTGTAATCAGTATTAAATTAAAGTACAACTATTAACCAATAACAACGTAAGATGGCTGAAAACTAGTGGTGATTTCTGGCATAATCTGGCTGAAAAAATTAATGGTGATTTCAGCTAGAAAATAGATAAAAGACCAGTTATGTTATGTAGTATCATGCGTTTGTTACTGAACTTATTTTTTTCTAAACTTTCAGCCATTTTGTAAAGAAATTAGCAAGTTTTTCTTTTTAGCATAGTTTTCAGTTAGCTTAAATATTGAGTTTAACAGATAATTCAGCAAATTGAACAATTCAGACTGTAACAACGATTCATGCCAAACATGTAGCTTTCAATATATGTGGTTTAATTACACACGACCAAAGCTCGCTTTATAGATCGATCCGCTCACGGCTTTCGAAAAACGTCACTGTCGGTTAATATTAAACTATATACTATATAGTATATATTAATACACTCCACTACTCAATTCATTGATCAGTAGTAAATGACATATGTATGTACAGTCGCTAGAGTATACCTTTGATTTGATATCTTGTCCGTTTTTAACGTGAACAATCGGAAACGACAGCGTTTCGTCCAGCTTAACCGACACAATTTGGCAACCAAGCCGGAGAGTTCCAAGAGGAAGTTCATGAGCCAAAGCTCGAACCAAATCATTCCTTATTACACCTCTTACCTCTCCATAGGACGCCGGTCCGACTGATTCTCTTCGTTTAATCCCTTCCTCGATCAAAACATCTCTTATCCTAGTTTTGTTACCGTTACAATGAATAATTAGTAATGACTAATAATTAGAGCTAATTAAAATATTATACGTACTGATGAATTGGGAGAGAATTAGGACGAAGCTTATCCGCGAGGCCGAGCTGTTGAAGTGCAAGCCAACCATTAGTCTGTATACCAAATGCTGCACCTTCAGATCTTACCGTCTCTGATCTCTCCAACACAATGCTCTTTATACCCTTCCTTTTATATATTTATGTTTATTTGATTGATACGTTAATTAGTCAATAATCAATATATTACAAGTTACCAATGATTAAGATCATAACTAAGAAAAAGAGGAGAAAATAATGAACCTGTGAAGAGCAAGGGAAGTTGCAAGACCAGCAATGCCTCCTCCCAATATTACTATGTCTAATTCTTCCATTCTTTTCTTTAGCTCTCTTTCTCTAAATTTATGATCTTCGTTTCTCTCACCACTATATTTTATATCTGCGTTATGGGTAGTGAACTAGTGGTTGAAGCCATATAATACCGTGGTTGTATCTTGGCCTGTTGTATTTTTTTTGTTATATATGACTATCATAATTATATAGCGAATTAAAGCATTGAATAGTTTTGGTATTTGTCGATTTCCATATCTTAAAAATAAAAACAACCTCGGATATTTCAGTTGAATACCTTTGTCAAAAAAAAAAAAACTAATAACTTGTGTTTTATAAAACGGGAAAATTCCTTACAAAATCATCAACTTAATTTCAATAAGCTTTTTAAATCCTCAACTTTTCGTGTGCCCAAAAAAAAATTTCAAATATTTTTTCTACTTATTTTAAATCCTCAATTATTATCCGTGTGATCATTTTACTTCAATATGATTTGGGGATTTTGCTTCAATTTTGTCGAGATTTAGCTTATATCGAGTTTTATGTTAACCATTATTTAACCACGACGAGTACTGTAGCTAGTTTGTCAACAAGGTTCAAATAATGTTTCCATTTTCGTTTAGTATTGTTTCGTATATGCTGTAAATTAATTATACGAATAACAATTGAAGATTTAAAATGGGTAGAAAAAATATTTGAAGGTTTTTTCTGGACACAGGAAAAGTTGATGATTTTAAATACTCATTGAAATTAAGTTGAGGATTTTATATGAAATTTTCCCTTTATAAAACACTTAATATAAGTAGACGTCCACAACTAGTGGCGAAGCCAAGATTATATTTTACAGGGGTTATATATTAAAGTCCTATAATAATATTAAATTATTAATTTTCAATAAATTTCATGGTTGAAAAAAGTCTAGTTAAAATAACTAAAAATAATGTCAGTACTGTTATAAATTTCATAGATTATATTATAGATACTTTTGACTAAATTTAGATGAAATTTTAGAAGGAGCAAAAGAACTAGAAAAAAAAACATTAAAAAAAACACAAAACAAGTGGCAATTTTAACATTAGAGGAGCAAATGAACTATTTGAACCTTAGGCATAGGGGTCAAATAAGTGATTTTAGACCAACTCATCCAGCAAATATTTTGGTAAACCTCAATAAAAGATTTTTTTTTTTAAATTCACAGGGGTCAGCTGACCCCCCTCCACCTTACCTAGCTCCGCCACTGTCCACAACGTTTCCCACTATTTATTTCTTGAACTTGACATATAACCTATAACAAATCCACATGATACATATGTTCTATTCTTTCCAACCATTCGTTAAACACATGCTTCTACTTGCTCTTAGACAGTTAGACTTATACTAATTATAATATAAGAAAAAAAAGATTGTGTACCTTTTGTTCTTTTTTTCGTCGATGTATTAGGTTTGACAAAAAAAAAGGGATAATTGGCAAAATACACTATTAAGATATTTAAATTAGTAAAATACACTGTTTTTATTTTATTTTGAAAACTACACTTTTGATATATGTAAAAAGACTTTATATGATCAAAGTTAATTAGAAATAATATATTTTAAGAAATGTTAATAAAAATTTGAAATAGTTAATATTATGATTGTTTTTATTTGAGATATTGATATATAATTACTTAAAATTTTTAAATTTATAAACAGATGAATTTTTAAATATTTTAAACTTTATCTCTACAAAATTTTTTTTCTATTAGTGTTATATAGATTTGTTACATAAAAAAGATTCATCAACAATTGAGTTTTCTAAAAAAAAGCATAGAAACATAACTCCTTTTAACTTGTGGTATTCTCTTTCAGTTTTCTGAAAAAAACAGAGTTCTTTCAAACTCTAAGATATAGAAATCACGTAATCAAGTGGATTACGTACAACTGTAAGTGTTAGATGAAGATTCATGTTTCATAGTGATTGTGAAAGATTTTAAATCTGAACAACTTATATTTGTCCGGTCTCTCTCAAGGATAAAAGAAACAAAAACAATTCATCTAGTAAGCTTACAATATATCTAATCTGCAGATCCTTTGTTTTTACTGTCGTTACTTCTTCTCATTACTCCTTTGGTAGAGAAAATAGAATCAGCATGTGCTCAGATGGTAAAAATGATGGTCTGAATAAATTATACAAAAAAACCTAGCAAACTGATGAAGAAGACAGTAAAGAATAGATGAGGATAATGAAGATAAAGAGATTAGAGATGAATCGTTTCTACATACATTAAAATATCATAAAACAAAATCTTTCAGACTTTATCAAGTCGCTTGTAACTAGTTTTGTTTGAGACATTACATTATTTTCTCAATTGTGTAGTTAAACCAAGTAACTGAATCTGACATTGTCTAATAGACAAATAAATAAACTAGAATTTTCAGTGAAATATACAATTTGTGTCCATATACGAAGTAGGAAACACATTTTGTATTGACTAGAAAGTCAGAAAGAAAACTAATTTAAATTTAGATTTTATTATTTTACTATTTTTAATTAAAAATTATGATTTATATATTTAATTACTATAATTCTTATTTAGGTTGATTTAGTCATTTTATTGATGAAGAAGTGTAGATTTCAAAAAAGAAAAAAAATGGTGTATTTTTCAAAATATAAACTCATAGAAAGATATTTTCTCAAATTTTCTCAAAAAAAAACCCTTCCTCTCACATACACATCTTATTACATAATTTCAGGGGTTGGAATGATAATACTTATTGTTAACGGACCAAAATTCGAAATTCGAAAAAAACTCGTCGGCCGCATTAGGTTTGGTACTAAAACCCTAAAAAAACTCAATATCAGAAAAAAACAGAGCTTCCTCCTCCTCCTTCTCCCAAATCGATCCTCTTCCCAGAAAAATGCGGCCTTTAGACGAGAACGAGACGACCGTCGTCTTCGAGAAGCTCTTCAAGTTCATCGGAAACAACCTCAAGAACCTCGTCGAGAACCCCTCTCACGAAGGACCCGACCCAGAATCCGGCCGTTACTGCTTCCGCCTCCAGAAGAACAGAGTCTACTACGTCAGCGAGTCTCTCGTGAAGCGAGCCACGAACATCGCCCGGAAAAACCTCGTCTCGCTCGGAACCTGCATCGGGAAATACACTCACGCCGGGAGCTTCCACCTGACGATTATGTCGCTCAATCTCTTGGCGGCGAACGCTAAACACAAGGTATGGCTAAAACCCACATCGGAGATGTCGTTTCTTTACGGGAACCATGTGTTGAAAGGAGGATTAGGGAGGATTACTGATAGTATTGTTCCTGGAGATGGAGTTGTCGTGTTCTCGATGACTGATGTTCCGTTAGGGTTTGGAATTGCGGCTAAGAGCACTCAGGATTGCCGGAAATTGGATCCTAATAACATCGTTGTGCTTCATCAAGCTGATATTGGGGAGTATTTGAGGGATGAAGACGAGCTTTGATAAAGTTCAAAGTTTTAGTCTTATGTGTGTGCGATGTTTCTGCAGTTTTTATGTAAGTGCGGTCTTAGTTTTGATTCTGCTTGTTGTTTTAAGCTATTTTGAGTTCTTACGGTATGTAGCTGCTGTTGGAAATTTTGTGGAACATGATACTGGAACTATGAAAGTCTTCATTTTTATGAATTTGATTGAGGTGTTATGGCTATTTTTTGTGAGCATCTTGAGTATTGAAAAGCTAGAATCATACACACATATGGGAGATTTTCAAACCTGTAAGCTGATAATTAAGATTTGTGTTCGAGACAGTTTGCTTTGCTTTAGATTATATAGCTCAAAAGCTTCAAAATGTTTACAGCCTGATACTTTTTCAGTTAAGCACATAGAAAGATACATGTATCTGTTGGTTGTGTATAGCCAAATATTGCGGAGCACATACATTTGAATACAGTTATGAGCTCATTTCTGTTGAAACTCTCATGGCCTAAATAAACTACTAGAAATGAGGATTTGTTCAAACCAGAAAGATAGCTCCAGAAAATATGAAATGCGTCATGTTTTCACTTTATCCTTTCTATATAGTGCAGTCACGTCACAAAGCCCCTTAGATGTCGAATTAAAAAAAAGAAGAAGATGATAGATGTAACTCAGTTTTAGCCATTTTGGGTTTAGAAAACTATGTACAGTAATGTCTATATAACCTATATATTTGATATTACTCATATTAGTAGTCCGCCTAGCTCACCGATTGTAACGCAACGCAGAAGATGTTAATGGTCCTTCGAAATAAAACTTTTTTATCATACAACATCCAAAGTCAAAACCTTATAATCACTTTGTTCCTCTCTCTCCTATCTCTCTCTTTACCAGAGACTTTTGTCTCTGTCGCCATTTTCGCCAAGGCTCTAACATCACAATCTGAGTAGTTTGTAGTGTCTTCAATCTGTGCAATTGAACCCATGACAAACTGAAAGCCAGATAATGAGAACAAGTAGCAGCAAGATCCCGAGAACCACAAGTTTTATCTTCATGTTCTGGTACCACAGTTTCTTCCTTACTTGTGTCCCTTGTTTCTTGTACTCCTGCGCCTAAAAAGGTTCAAGTATACTTAAATTAAACTGGCCTATTTTAGAGAAGATCAACTATAAAAAAACATGTTTGCCCTTTACCTGTGAGCGTAGATTCTCGGTCTTATCAGTAAGAACCGTTAGATTCTCCCCTCTGTCGATTGCCTGGGAATAGGTCAACAATATTGGTTTAGTACAAGCATAAATGCACAGTGATTTGTCTCTGCTTTAAGGGGACATAGTGAAATACGTAATTGCTTTTTCGCAGACACATCATTGGTTAAAGGTAAAAGTAAAGGAGAATGATTGGTAGTCTAAGTGTGCAGAAAGACATAAGTGAGAATGCAGTAGAAACTATGATAGCCAATGATGTGCATTACCTTGTCAATATTCTCCAACATAATACTTTTAACTTCTGAAACTTGAGCCTTGACTTTTATTAGTTTCTCAATCTCCTCTGCATGGTCAACAATATACTTCATGTGTTCTTTCATGACCGGCCTGCAATTTTCGTTACCATTTTCGTCAATAACAAAATCTCTCACATCTATTCATCAAGTCCCCAAAAGTTTTAAGGTAAGTACCCGAACTCCTTGTTCAGGCTTTTGGCGATTGCTGTACTTGCTTTTCCACCCCCATATCTTTTCTTGAAATCAGCTTTCACACGCTCCAGAAATGCGATCGAAACTTGCTTGCTGAGAGAATCTTTTGCCACTACACAATATGCTGAAACACATAAAACAAGGAAAGATGTCATTCTCAAGGAGGGTTCTATAAGTGAAATGCAACTATATATGTATTATTTTTGCAAGAATAAGTATGACACAGTCAAGATTATTCAAGAGGACGCATTATATAGGAAGAGCAACACGTCTCCGCATAAGACTGCTAATAACACGAAACATTAATCAGTTTCTGTGTCCTTTAAAGATCAAAGGACAAAGGACACCGCACATAAAAGCAAATGATCTATCGCTGTTTAACTGGATTAAAGTAACAAGTAGGCTCGACTTGAATCATAATAACGCTAAATAACCTCTGTCTTAGAACTTTTAAACTTGTATGTATTGTTAAATAGGGATACTCCAATTCAGGGAACAACACTGTTCAGTCAAAACCCTGCCTTATGCATGCCAAAGATGGACATTTCTAATAGAGTGGAACTTAATCCATATTATATGTCACATTTCAAATGATCTAATTGCCCTGAGTTAATTGTAAAACGCATGAGCAGTTTCTTCTCCTATAGAAAGACTGGCACAAACATCTCCAATGATTTTCCCGCAATTTAAAAAGGCAAAAAGTAAGAGCCAGTAGACTCTACTTGAACGAACAACGCGAAATAAACGCTATCTATAAACTTTAAAACCTGTATATAGTGCAAAACAGGGAGATTCCAATACAGGGACAGCAGAGTCTAGTCAAATCCTACCTCATGCATGCAAAGGATGGAATCTTTATATAAAGTTGAACCCCAATCATATGATATACCCTTGGTTCGATTTCAATGATCTAATACTCTAAGCTTAACACATGCGTGTGTTTTCACCTCCAAAACCATAACTGGTTCTCATAAAAAAAACTGGCAGAAACATCTCTTATCTGCATCAAGTAAAGGTATCCACAAATAGGACGCGTAATGCGTTAACCATACAAAAACTAACAAGAAACACTAGTAGATTGTACACAGAACTGCAAAACAGTCAAGATCTTTGAAGTGTTCTGTTACCAATATATATCAAACTTGTATTTAGAAATTTGTTATGTGATAGGACATGCGTGCTTCATAATTGGCATTTTCCCAAGTTGAAACTTGAAACCAAACCAAATCAGGAAGGGAAAAAAGGAATCAATTCGTTCTTTTGTTTAACTTCAAATTTCTCAGAGAACAACACACAAAACACTGTTGAATAGCCTAGTAAAGGCAAATCCAATAAACGAAATGCCCTTAGATTCAGATGATGCACATACAGCTAATCAATCCTGAGCTAGATCCATCAAGACCTTTAATGGCTTCAAACTAAAAACAGCACTTTTTCGAGACAATGTTCGTTTCGGCCAAGAAAATCAAGAAACCGAGAGAAGAGAGAGAGGGGAAACAAACCGTAGCCATCTTCGACGAGGAAGTTGAAGGTGTGGTGATCGCAGTTGTAAGTGAACTTGCTGTTGCTGGAGGAAGGAAGCTTCTGGAGACACTGAGCAGCAATCGACGGGAAATTACCGGTGAACTCGGTGTACTCGGCAAGAATCATAGTGCCTCTGGCGACGAAGCTGTAGATAAACGATTCCTGACCCATTGAGTCGCCACCGAGTCGGCTCAGGCCAAGAGAGAGAGAGACAGAAAGTTTTGATCTTTACCTTTGCTGCAAAGGAACATGCGTTTTCCCGTGTCTTGACTACTTAAAAACTTTACTCCATTTGGAACAATTCTCTAAAAATTCGCTTTTTCCCTTTTTCAGGATAAAAATGTCAAAAAACAAAAAACAAAAATTTGATTAACAGAAAGTCCAAAATCAATGTTTTCAACTTTTGATGTGACAGTAATATTTTAATTTCTAGTCTATTACCACATTACAAAAAATAATTCTGCTGTTGTCAAGATGTTTTGGTCAGCCGGATTGTTGGAAACATAGTTTACAAAGTGAAATCATAACAATGGGAATTCACACTATTTGAAAAAAGAAACCTTAAAACACTGTTCAATATAAAACCGTTCGTTGTAATTTTTCTTTATGTTTTTTTTTACATCTTATATAGTGCTGATTCAAAGATTTTAGCTTGGAAGGCCAAACCAGCTTGGAAACAACAAATACTGAATTTAAAACTCTATTATGGGTCATGAAAACCATTCAGCAGCTACAGTTCACTCTTTTTTTTTTTTCAATGAGTTTAAATGAGTTGTAGCAATTATTTTTAGGTGTCAATGAGTTGTTACAACTCATACTGAAAAAAGAAGAAGAGTGAACGGTTTAGTTTCATACTTACATTAAGGTTTAGTTTTATACTTACATTAAGGTTTAGTTTTATACTTACATGTTCTTTTGCTGTAAAGGAACATGTGTTTTCCCATGTCTCGACTACTATAAAACTTTACTCCATTTGGACCATTTCTTTAAGAATTCGCTTTTTTTCAACCTTCTATTGGATAAAAATGTCAAAAAAACAAAAAATTGATTAATGTCCAAAATCAATGTTTTCAACTTTTGATGTGTCAGTAATATCTAATTTCTAGTCTATCCATACCACATTACAAAAATTTATTTTGCTGTTGTCAAAATTAATTTTGATTGTTGAAACATAGTTTACAAACTGAAATCATAAGAATAGGAGTTCTCACTATTTGATAGACAATCAGCTTTAACATTCAAAGTACGAAAAAAAAAACAAACCTTTTAAATACACTGTTCAAAATGTTTTTTTTTTTTACATCTTATATAGTGTTGGTTCAAAAATATTAGCTTGGGAGGCCAAACCAGCTTGGAAACAACAAATACTGAATTGGAAACTCTGTTATGGGTCATGAAAATATTCAGCAGCTAGCAATTATTTTTAGGTTTCACTATAATTGCTACAACTCATTTTGAAAAAGAAGAAGAGTGAACGGTTTAGTTTCATAAGATTTAGTTTCATACTTACATTAAGGTTTAGTTTCATACTTACTTTATTTTTTGTTGGTATATACATAGTCTTCTTCTAGTTGAGATATTTCTGTATAGGAAAAAAAAAATACAGAGCTTCTCTTACTTCTCCCGAGTGTTACTGTCGAGGAAGGAAGACAACAATTCGCGAGGAATCAACTCACTCAGGTACGAATTTGTTCGATCCTAGGGTTCGTATACGCATAGAAGATAATACGATTTTCGTATAATAATTCCTGATCCAAACTCGGGTCATGACCCGTTTCTGTTTTCACCATTACCAGAACACAAAACCGATCCAAATCCCGATACGATGAGGAAGCGTCATCCCAAGGCGTCGGATTCTTCAGAGCCATCGTCAAGTCAAGAAACCGATAACGATGTTGTTCTCGATAAAGAGGATGATGTGCAGGTCGATGTTAGAAGATCAGGGAAAGTATGGCTCTCAGTGTTGATTCTGATCACATACTCCTCTTGGGCTGTTTACAATTACCAGCATGGGAATTTACCTCGTCCTTTAACCGCACAACAAGCTGGCAAAAGGGGTTTCTCTGAAATTCAGGCAATGAAACATGTCACGGCTTTGACTCAGTTTGGTCCGCATCCCGTTTCTTCTGATGCTCTTGTCCATGCCCTTGAGGTTTGTCTCCAACTTTTATGTTTTCTTCTTTTTAATTTGTGTGCACTGAGGATTTTGTGTTGTTCATCTTTGTAGTATGTATTGGAAGCAGTTGAGAAAGTTAAAGAAACTGCTCATTGGGAGGTTGATGTGAATGTTGATTTGTTCGAATCCAAATCCGGTGTAAATCGTCTTGTCGGTGGTCTTTTCAAAGGGAAGTCACTTGTGTATTCGGATATAAGTCACATTGTGCTAAGAATCTTGCCAAAATATGAATCAGACGCAGGAGACAATGCTATTCTTGTCTCTTCTCACATTGATACTGTCTTTTCAACGTATGTATTTATCGCTTCATCTCCTATCCATTTATTTCCATCACCAATATTAATAGTCAGAAGTGTGTGTTGAACTTCGTTTGTGAATGTATGAAGAGGTGGAGCTGGAGATTGTAGCTCATGTGTAGCTGTAATGCTGGAACTAGCTCGATCTGTTTCCCAATCGGCTCATGGATTCAAGAATTCTGTTATCTTCTTGTTCAATACTGGAGAGGAAGAAGGTCTTAATGGCGCTCATAGTTTTATTACTCAGGTAAATATGATAATACACTCACCTTAATGGCTTTAAGTTAAATGTATGTCCCTCTCTAGATCTTTTAATTCCTGAATTTATGGTTTCTATTTCACATTGTAAATTTACTGATGCAGCATCCATGGAGTTCCACAGTACGTTTAGCTATTGATTTAGAAGCCATGGGTACAGGTGGAAAGTCTGGTATTTTTCAGGTATAGACTTAGCACTACTCTATCTCCCGGTCCTCACATTTGGACACAGTTACTATTTTTGTGCATTGTACCTAGAAGAGTTTTAGGTTTTTGGTTTACAAATTGCTTCACTTTATCTCCATTTGAGAATTTCGACCTTCTGATTGTTTGAAGTATCCTCCTGGTGTAGGCTGGCCCGAGTCCGTGGGCTATTGAAAACTTTGCTTTGGCCGCGAAATATCCATCTGGTCAGATCATTGGACAAGTACGTGTACTTTCAACTGATGTTTCTTGCTCCCTTTACTGGTATATAAATACAATCTATATGTGACTGCTTCACTATGACAGGATCTGTTCACTTCTGGAGTAATAAAATCTGCGACTGATTTCCAAGTATACAAGGAGGTTGCTGGTCTCTCAGGATTGGACTTTGCTTTTGCAGATAATACTGCTGTCTATCACACTAAGGTATTCCCCTTTTTGTTGGTTTTAAAATGTTGTTCTTCTTGTTTTGTTCCTTGTTTAGATGTGTAATATCTTATTCCTTGTGTCGCAGAATGATAAGATAGAACTGATAAAACCAGGATCGCTTCAGCATCTTGGGGAAAATATGCTTGCTTTCCTCCTTCGTGTTGCTTCATCTTCTGATCTGCCAAAGGAGAAAACACTCCAGGGAGAGGAGAAATCCAAAGCGGACTCAGCTGTCTATTTTGACATTTTGGTGATTGAGAACTAACTATTCTGTTGTTATTATGTACTTCCATAGGTTCTCCTTTACCATGTCTTAATGTCTTTCCTTTTACTCCTATGTCAACTTTTCAGGGGAAGTATATGATTGTATACCGGCAAAGTTTTGCGACAATGCTATATGTTTCAGTGATCATGCAGTCGATTCTCATATGGGTTATGTCTTTGATCATGGGTGGTTATCCAGCTGTTGTGTCGCTCATGTTGTCGTGTTTGAGTATCATCCTCTCATGGATATTCTCAGTAGCTTTCTCGGTTGCTGTTGCCTTCATACTTCCATTGATTTCTTCATCACCTGTTCCCTACGCTTCAAACCCATGGATGACAGTTGGATTGTTTGTGTCCCCTGCGGTTTTGGGGTCAATAAGTGGTCAACATGTGGCCTTCATGTTCCTTCGGAAGAAATCATCAAACCGAAACTCGAACAAAATGCAAGTCTCACCAAGACTAAGGGATAACTTGGCCAAGCTGGAGGCTGAAAGATGGCTGTTCAAAGCTGGTTTTATACAGTGGCTTGTTCTTCTGGCCTTGGGAACCTATTATAAACTTGGATCAACTTACCTAGCTCTGGTTTGGCTAGTTCCTCCTGCATTTGCATGTAAGCCAATCTTTGTTAGCTACTGTTTTTTATATATTGAGGGATGTTGAAAAAGTGTTGTTTTCCCTTTAGAACTGTTCTAAGTTTAACTTAATGAAACATAATGGTTGTCTAGATGGATTGCTTGAGGCGACTTTAACTCCAATCCGATTGCCTAAGCCCCTCAAGCTTGCAACTCTCGTTATCAGCCTGGCTGTACCAGTTTTGGTTTCATCTGGCAGTTTTATCCGGTTAGCAGGCACAATGATCGGCATGCTCATTCGATTTGACAGGTAAACTGATAAAGGCACTATAATGTGAGATGCTTGATAGATATGGATGAACAATAACTAATAGTATAAATAGGTCAAAGGGGAAGAGAGATTATGAGTCTTTTTGATCATTGGGTGTTTGAGAGCCTTCGGGACTCTAAGCCAAACTCCAACTGCTTTTGGTTTACTTTGGTTATCGTTTCACCTTCCTTTGAGAAATAAAGAGAGTTCCACTCTCTGTTCCTATCATAGACAGGCTAAGATTCTCTTGCCTAAACGTAAATAGTGGCTGCTGCAACGAGAATTAATGGTTCTGTGAATCTCTTTCTTCTTTAGCTTCCACAGATCTTACATTGTAGCTGCTTTTTTGGGGTATTTTGGTGTGTAGAAATCCAGGCGGAACTCCAGAATGGCTAGGCAATGTGATGATCGCTGTTGTTATTGCTACTTTCATAAGTCTGACTATGGTATACCTGCTGGCTTATATTCATCTCTCCGGTAAATGCTCTATTTCAAAACTTTGTTTATGGAAATTATCACAAGAATTACAAATTTTAAGTTGATTAAACATAATAATTCTTGACAAAACTTATGGTCTCCAGGTGCAAAAAGGTCAATTGTCACTGCATTATGCATTATCACTGCCCTCTCTCTTTCTCTTGTATCTTCTGGTGTTCTTCCTGCATTTACCGAGGATACTGCAAGAGCAGTAAATGTAAGTCCCTTTGAATTGTCGTTCCAGTGGTAAGTTCTTTAGTTTCTTTTGTGTTGCGACTCAGCCTTTGGATATATGGTTGTACACCTGTACAGGTAGTACATGTTGTGGATACAAGCGGGGAAGATCCAGTGTCGTTCATATCGTTGTTCTCAAACACTCCTGGAAACTTGAACATGGAAGCAGAGCAGATCAAAGAAGGGTTCAAGTGTGGGAGAGATAATAAGGTTGATTTTGTCAGCTTCGAAGCTAAGTATAGTTGTGTGACCAAGAAGAACGCCGAGGCTGGATGGGACAAGAACGATATTCCGGTTCTGCGTGTCGTAGACGACAAAGAAAGAGTCATAGCAGTTTCGATGGACACAGGAGGCTCAACTCGCTGGACTCTTGGCATTGACATGGAGGAAATAGAAGACTTTACACTGCAAGTAGGTGAGGAGGAGGAGTTGATGATAGCACGTGGCGAGAAGAGCAGCAACGAAGAAGGGTGGCATCAAATTCAATTCTCAGGTGGGAAAAAGGCGCCAACAAGGTTTGTTCTCAAACTTTATGAAAAGAAGGAAGAAGTATCTGTTGAGAAGAAGAAGAAGAAGGAGGAGAAGAAGCAGAGACCTCTCTTGAAACTCAGAACTGACTTTGATCGTATCACTCCACAAGTGGAAAGGGTTCTCCAAAAACTTCCTTCGTTTTGCTCATTGTTTGGAAAATCCACTTCTCCTTTTACTCTCGCTTTTCTTGCTTCTCTTCCTTACACCAAATAGGCAAATACCACTTCCTCACAATACATTCTTTTTTGTTGTTTGACATCAAAAGCAAATGTGTTTTGAGTTCTTGAGAATAAATAAATTAGTTACAGAGAAAAAAGAGCATGTAAAACGACTAAATTCATCTAATTCATCCTAAAAATTCATTTAATATTGGAATATTTTTTAGGATTATTTAAAATAAAAGATATATAACAAATAGTTATGACAAATAGATGCAACTTTCCGAAACATTTTCTAAAAGTATACTCCATAGATTTCGACTAAATTAAATAACAAAAGAGTGGCCAGCCAATAAGAAAAAAGATAGCTATAAAATAGAATATGTGAAAACTCATCTTTAAATTTAAATTCTCGTCGCCTCACACATGCTCCCAAGTAAGTACCAGTCTTAAATGGTAGACATTAACCAAAAACAAAGGAAATTTGTGAGAAAAAAACTTATAAATTATTTATTATTTCTTATTTCTTCTGCGTCGAAAATACACAAACTGAAACTATACAAGCAAAAAATCGTATTTTTAAAAATGTTAATCAAATATACTAAAAATAATTGACTGAAATTGAATAATAAGTAAATATATTTTTTTTAAAAAAAAAAAAAATTGAGAGTTAGTAGATCACGTATTGGGAAAAACAATGCTATACATAAAATAAAAAATTTGAATTTTGTTGTTTTTATTATTTTAATTTCATTTTTTGAAATTTGAGTCTCGCTCCCAACGACATCACTAAATAGTCTGATATTTGTTTGTTTGTCACTTTACCAATCTCTCTAATAGATCTTCTTCTTCCTTCCTTCTCAATACCTCCATAATTCTTCTATCTTCCCTTTTTGATTTCATTCCCAGAGAATTTTCCCGAGTTCACATTGATAATGGCGGACCAAACCTCCGATCCAACATCTTCCGCGGCTCTTGTCTCCGTATCTTCTCCTACTGCTCCTGTAATCTCTCCTTCTCTCTCTCGCCTCTCTCATTTTGCGATTCATGAACACGTAGGCTTTTAGGGCTCTGTGTTTCTGAGTTTTGGTCTGAAATTGAGAGTTTGCGGCTGTTTTGTAATTTGGTTTTGTATCTAGGGTTTGGGATTAATTGCGCCATTTCGGACCGAGATCTGTGTTTGTCTGCAACTTCGTAGTTATTATTTTTCATTTTAGTGAGTTCTTGTTTCTTTCTTGCTGTTTCGATTATTGTCTGTGATTTGCTATGTTTTTTTTTGTAGAGAATTCTCTCTACATTTAAGAGTTCCACATATTTTGCAATCTCTAGATTCTGGTTACATTGATTCTGAGTTGATTCACTTTCAAAGTTTTTTCATTTGATGGTATTTGGCTATCGTTGTATATCTCTTTAGATTTGGAATCAGATAATTAGGGAATTTCTGGTAGTTTTGATTGGCATTGTGGTTTTGCAATTGTTTCTCTGATTATCAAGATAAATAAAAACAATCTCATTGATCTTGCAGCATTGATTTCCCTCAGAAATTTTGTTTTGGAGAGCCCACAGTTATATTTTTATCCGTGTGGAATTGTTTTTATAATGTGGTTTACTGAAATTTGAATGTTGATCTTGATTGTTTCTTCTTCTGCAGAAGAAAGAAAATACCAGTCCTGTTGATTCGAAGCTCACGGTATGTGTAGCTGTGTTGCCTTCCCATCTTTTTATCTATTAGTATTTCTAGTCAAATCTTCTGATGCCATTTTCTGAAGTCTGGATTTCGTTTTCTGTAGGAATTGAGCGAATCAAGAGCCGAGTTGCTTATCAGGATCCAGAACCTGAAACAGGTTTTAACACCTTTTATATATATTCTCATCTCATATTTTCTCATCGTTGTTCAGACATCTATTGTCTTTTCTTAACAAACCAGCTTTACATCTATGCCTTAACTGTCACAGGACTTGCAAAGTTGGAGAGGTAAGCTAGACACCCAAGTTAAAGTCTACCGTGAGGTGAGTTCTCTTTCTACTCCTCTCAATACATTTTGTGGTCTGCTCGGAAAATATATATTCAGATTCTCCAAATTCTGCTCCCAAAGAGAATTGCTTTCCTTTGCTAGGGTCAGTTTCAGGCGACACAAGAGCTCTCCTCTTGTACTGTTTTGAAACTCGGTATGTAATAAACTCTTACTCGGTGCTTCTACAGGAGCTCTCTGGGCTAAAGAAGACTCTGAATCTTGAAGTTGAGCAGCTCCGTGAGGTATGTATGTATATTGAGAGCAACATGCACATCGAAATCTTTACCGTTTTCTGTTTCGTGATGCACATTTTGAATTGTTTGCGTTTCTACACAAACCAGGAATTCAAAGACCTGAAGACCACCTTGAATCAGCAACAAGATGATGTTTCTGCTAGCCTGAAAAGCTTAGGCGTGAGTTCTCATGATACTACTCTCTTCTTCCCAATTGTAATGTGTAACCCGGTAAACAGTCCGGCTTATTAAGCTAAACAGAAACTAGGCTATGGTTTCCTCAATGATTCTCTGTATGTCCTTTGCAGCTACAAGATAACTCCAAAGATTCAAAAGAGCAAATGGATAAGAGAGGCGAGGCTACAGAAGAGAAAGTGGAAGCTCGGTCGAGTGATGACATTGTGAAAGAGGTAGAGCATTAGATGATGAAAATGTTTGTTACTATGATCTTTGTGACTACTACCACTACTACTACTCTTACTACGGTTTAGATTGTACCAGTACTCTTGGTCTGTAGTACCTCGGTTTAGTTGATTCTTATAGCAGTTTGTACCAGATCGATGCCAAATACAGAAACCAACTCGAGTAATGATCTCAAAACTAAGCTTCTCCTCTGTTTTTGACATCAATTGAGAGAATTGTAAACCTATAAACAAACCTAGATAATGCAAAATCTTAAATTAAGGAGCTATAGTGATTTGCATTCTCCGAACTTTAAGATTGGAAGCTTTAATCAACCGATCAATCAATGAACCAACAAACTAACTGCATAATCCCAATTATTTACTTGTGTGTTTTGTTTTTGGGAAAGTTCTTATACATACTACTTTTTTTTTGTTTTATTTTTATACTGTACTCCATTAATGTCAATATATGTATGAATTTCAAATATTTCTCTAGATATTGACTGTTAACCAATTTGATCAATGGAGGGAACGTTCAAAGTTTTTTTTTTTTTACCAAAGGGAACGTTATAAGTTTCTTATGACGAACACTAGTTTTTTTTTTGGTCGAACATGTTAAGATTCATACCATTTTCAAGATTTTACATAGTTGTGAGGGATCACTTATTACAAGAAGAGAAAGAGAAAAAGATTAGGAAGAAGATTAAGGATACATCCGTTAGCTTATGGAACCAAGATGCTGGAAATATAACTCAAGAAGGGAGGGAGACGTCGTAGAAATCGGCGGGAAGGAGAGGAGACGATCCCGAAGCATTCTATCCACCGAAGCACGAACAACTGGGACAGGGGAGCTGGAGTCTTTGAAAATGCGAGAGTTGCGCTCTCTCCAAATGGCGTAGATAACGACTTGAAGCAGAAACTTAAACACAGACTTCAGTCCCACTGAAGAGAAGTGATTCCTGGAGGAGATGAATGCAACGACAGCACGAAGCGAGAGAGGAACAGGAGCGCATACTCTGTTTACAAAACGAGTCCATAGGTCCGAGGAGAAAGAGCAGGCGAAGAACAGATGGTCATGCGATTCAGGCCCTGCTCTACATAAGACACATTGGTCGGAAACACTAGTTTTCTTATTTCAAATATTTTTTTTTTCATCTGTTGGTATATTCAAGTACATGCGTCATATCTTATCCTCTTAAGTTGAATAAAATATGCTGCCAAGAAGAAAAATGTTGAATAAAATCAAAATAGAAAATTCAGTAAAGAAATATACAGTTGTGTTTGACAAGAGAACTTAAAACGCGTTAATACATCATTAGATCTCAAATTACACTCTACTTTATTGTCTTGGTTACAGTCAAGTGGCATAACCCGTAAATATACCCTAATCCTAATGGCATTTTCAATTCTTCTTTCTCTTTTAAACCATTTCTTTCTCTGCCTTTGATAAAACTTTTGAACCTGACCAAAAACAAAAAGCTAGAGAGAGAGAGAGAAATAATGAGGGGATTCTCCAGAAAATCCGGCGCGGCGGCAATCTTTCCGATCATCGCAATTCTCACCGTCCACTGGTTAATCTCCGTCGCGACCTCCCAATCCGTCGGATTCGCCGCCGATTTCATGCCGATCGAGACAGAGTGCACTGGTTCCATCGCCGAGTGCTCGACGGCGGCGGCGGAGGAGTTCGAGATGGACTCTGAGATAAACCGGCGCATCTTAGCGACGACGAGGTACATCAGCTACGGTGCGCTGAGGAGAAACACGGTTCCTTGCTCGCGCCGCGGCGCATCTTACTACAATTGCCGACGTGGAGCTCAGGCAAACCCTTACTCTCGTGGCTGTAGCGCCATTACTCGTTGCAGGCGATGATGATCTCTCTCTCACACTCTCTGTGTATCTCAATTCTTTTGTTTTTACTTTTATACAATTTTTCAGATTTTTATTATTATTATTTTTGTTTCCTGGTATTTTTATTTACTTTTTTTTTGCTTACAATTTTATTACAATATAGTTTCATCCACCTACATATAGAGTTTATATAGTATGTGTGTACATTTCTGGGAATGTTTACATTGTTTCTTGATGTAAGTTTGCTATATGACCAGAAATATATGTATTACAAACTGTAAATTTTATTTCTTAAAAATAACAAACGTTAGTATTTTATCAAAAATAAAAAATAACAAACGATTGATGTATACATTTTAATATATCAATTATCAGGTATGATTACATTTGTAGTTTAATAGTAATATGTATGGGTGCTTTTTGCATGTGCTGAAGAAATACCAGATGTTCATATGGTATATAAATTATAAAACTATAGTTGAGAGGAAGAAGTCATATTTAAGGAAAAAAATTAATTATTTTTTTTCCCCGTTTTTTGTTGAAGAAATGAATAATTGTTGACAAGTGGGAAATAGAGAGACAAATAATTAGGATTATTTAGTTGGGGCCAACTAAAAGCAGCTTCACATGCAAACACTTTCGGCAGAACCACACGTGGCGTATTTATTACGTTTATTTGGTGTATTCTTTTCATTTGTAATGGTGAATTTACAACTAATAACATTAGTTGTTTTTTTTGGGGATTAAAACTAAAATTGGTTGCTACAACTAAAAGAAATTAATGTATCAAAAAAATGTCAGTATAGGTCTTTGTCTTGATAAAATATTTAATTCCCATAGTTTTTTACTTGATAAACGCTACAACTCATTTACTTCCCATAGTTTTTCGTCTTGGAGCCTTGAAGAGGCTTGGGGGAGAAAAACTGTCAATTTATGTAAAATATATTAAAAATAAAAAGAAATGAAGAGAAGAAAAGACTCATTTACTTCCCATAGTTGGAGGGAGATGTGAATTTGAAAAAAATTTCAAAAATGAAGAAGACAACATTAAATATCAAAACAACAAATTAGAGACACTTTAATTTAATGCACATCTCATCTAACGGCCCTTATTTCCTCCTCGGGCCCTCAAGGGTAACAACCTCACAAAAAAATTAAAAAATAATAATAAAGAAAAAGGAATATAAACCAAAGTTTTGGACCATAGACTCATACCTCATGACAAGCATATACCAACTCATCACCGATTGTTATTTGTTAAATTGATAATGATAGATTGATCTACATTCATATTTAACATACACTTTCTTAACATCCATTCACAATTTTAATTGTTTTTTTTTTTTGGAGTCATTTGTAAATATAAGAACAATACACAATTAGATGATCCATTAACATCAGCCAAATCGACCCAATTTCTTTAAGAACAAATATTTTGTACAACTCATAATTGCTACAATCGGTCTACGGCTCCTATACTGTATTTTTCACTTTCTCTAATGACAAACTCAAAAACTATAAATAAAAATATAAATTGGAACCAAATCGAGAATAGATCAATTGTCAAGTTGGAAACTTGGTCAGCCTTTTTCCCAAATTAAAAATAGCGGATTTTTCTCCATCATTCCCTACAATTGTGTAGCATCGACAATAACATAAAACCTTCAAGCATTAGGTTTCTCAGTTCTCTCAAAACCAACATAGAAAGGAATTCATAGATGCAGAATAATTATAATGTACCACATCATCAATCTATTTGATGAACAGAACAACATATTCTTGTCTTAAAACTGGAAAATAATAAGTAATACTGCTCTTAACAATTTTCATAGATTTTTCTGCAGATGCAGCAGCCATAAGAAAAAACAGATGATGAACTTAAGTTTTTAAGTGGAACTAGCCGGTGTTTTGGGTTCATCGCTTGATTTGGAGGCAGGAGGAGTGCCTTCTACTCCCATCTCAGCTCTTAGATCATTGATGCTTTGCTCCAGCTCATTGATTCTGCCTCCCATGTCATCGAGTGAACCATCAAAGTCAAGGAGATTACGATTTATGTAAAGGGAGAGATTTAAACCAATGTCATGAACACAAATTGCTGGATCAAAATTCACTTGAACAGAACAAGAAAGCAATATAAGAGCAACTTAACTAGAGAACATAACATAGAGACATGTGTTACTATCAGTAGAACAGACACTGAAGTAATCTAATCTGGTATTAGATAGTTGCCGATCCCTAGTACTAAGCTTCTATCCTTTGAGACACAAAGAAACAATTATCAGGGATCATTGTTACCTCTAAACTTTCATTAGAGAACTGTCAATTCCTAGTACTAGATTTCTTTCCTTTGATTTAATGGCAGAAAGAAACTAATCTTAGAGATCATCACTCCTGTTCTAGGAGGGAAACATTTCAAATATTCTAATGGAAGCAACATTCAAAGTAAAACCACAGATTGATAAAAGGATATTCTTTGTGATGATGGAGTCCGACATTGTCTGGAACCTAGTTTGCTGAAACACACAATATAACCAAATTTATCAGAATCTACCTTTTGAAGCTGCAATTCACAGGCCTAAAATGACAAAAAAAGATCTGTAAGAAAACCCACCATTTGCTGCAGAAGATTTTGGACCTGCGGATAAGATTTTTAAGGATTCAGTAACAAAAACCAAGTGATATTGTCTCAAAGTCAGAAGCATATCAAACAAAGAGATTCTGACCAAAGACGTAATTTATCTATTATAAATGGACACTCACAAAAGCTGTCATATCAGCAGTGCTCTGCTTAGTATCCTCAGAATCATGCCCATCCTGCCAGCATAAAGAAATAGCGATAAGAAGGAAATAAAAGACACAAAGAACATAACTTCATTGATCTACAACAAGCATCAGTACATGTTGATGAAGCTTAAGAAATCGATTAAGGTAAAACAAACAAGCACGAACTATTTACTCATGCAGGATATTTACATCTAAAACTATCTTAGTACCAACAATACACACACACAAAAAAAAAACTCGATACATGGTCATTCTGAAGTTATACTGGATCCTCAATCAGATCCTTAACTTCATGTTCATGATACTGGAAATTTTGCAGAGACTGAATTCTCAAGTTTTCATACGCACAAATGGAAAAGAAAATCAAAGAAATGCAAAATCCAATTGTAATCGGGTTTTCAACTCAAAATTTCGATAGGCAATATATATAGAAACAGAACAACAATCGAAAGCCATGCTAGATGACACTGAGCCTAATAATCCGAAGATATATAACATCTGCAAAAATTTAGCCCTAAAGTACAATCGATAAATCTGAAGAATGAGCCTAGGGTTCGTGAACGAGAACATAAATTCGATCGAAATCAATCAACGCGCACTGATCTGAAGCATCATACATACCATTTCTAGGTGTCTGATCGAACGATGGAGAATTTGGATTCAGCGAGAAGCGAATGAGACGAGGGAGATGAGCGATGTGTGTGTATCACCAAGAACAGAAAAAGCATCACTACTATTAAGGATTTACCCAAACCTGTATGAACGAAATGTCTAAAATGCCCCTGTTCTAAAAAAGTATCGTTATGATTGGATCGAGTGGGATCATAAGTGTGTATTCAAATTTCAAATCTACATCGAACGTTTGGTATTAAGATTTTGTAGATCTTTGAACAATTTTTTAAAAAGATCTGTAAATCTTAGGATTCTCAATTTGGTTTAGTTCAACCGATTCAAAATCAAAACTGTACCGAAAAATGAACTTTATAATTGAAATACTACTGTATGTTGCTTATCTCCGCAACATTAGAATTAGAATTAGTACTTTTTTTGTATGGTCAATCGCATAAACCAAGCCTTTATGCTATTTTACATATGCTGTGTTACAAAATCTATAACTTGAGCAATCTAATTATCTTTTCGACCATAGACACAGGTGAAGACAGACATAAACATAGGAACCAATCCTAAAACAGACATCGAGCCTCTCATCCTCACCAAGATCCTCCTTTCTTCTTCTTCTTCTTGTTCGTGTTTTCTACAGCCTCGGCTTCCAATGGAAAACCCTGTGTGCAAATCAGATGTATCGAGATAGATACCAAACCTTTTTGTTGCTTGGAATCCAAGTCTTCCTCTTCTTGTTCTCACACGACCATGAACTGTTCCTCTTTCCAAGCCCTTGTTTACATTTCCGTTTTCATGTCTTGTCTCCTCGTCTTCTGGCTCGAGACTTTCCTGACTCTGATCGTCCCAGAGGATTTCAGGGTAAGAATCCAGTAAACGTCTTTTCTTCTCCTCTAAATCATCTTGCGAATGAGAAGCGTGTCCTGAATTAGCCCCGAGAAGCAACACATTCCACAAAGAACAGAATACAGTGAAAGACCGACGCTGGGAACCAATAACACCGGCCTTTTCTATAATGGCCTTGTGCTTTTGCAAAGAATCCGCTTTTGACCCGATTTTAACCGAGCAACATAGTATCAGTAGGTTCAATCTCCAGTCCACGCAAGTAGATTCGCTGGTTTTGTTTCCACATAAAGAGCTCAAGTTGTTGTTCTCTGCCAGAACAATTCCAGGCATCTTGCTCTGGTCTACATACGCTAACTCCGGAACTGCTTGTCTGATTGATTGATGCATAAGAGAAGATCTCTGAGCAATAAAGTCTTTGCAGCTTGAAGAATCTGGGACATCGGAAGCTGCATGAGTTAGGACCACGATAGCGTTTCGCCATATTGATGAGCCCAGAGAACTGGTGACGATTCTAAGTAAATGGATGTCTGGATTATCGTCTAGACGGTCAATAAAAAGGAAGACATCAACTGGGAACGCTCTTATGCTCTTCTTTATCGACATTAGGACATCCTGATTATACTGTTCCTCAGTTGCAGAAGACACGAGGCCTGGCGTGTCAAGTACTCTTATCAGGACTCCTCCTACATTCCCAACTACGTAATTTGCAGACTTTGTGGTAACTCGGAATGCACCAACAGGAGACTTAGTCTCCCCAAAGATAGAATTAACCGTTGCACTTTTTCCCACCCCGGTTTTCCCGATAACAAGGACATTAATGGAGAAGTCTAGATCATCTGGAAACTCTTGTTCAGGCAGCATTATCTTTGTTCCGTCGGACACGTAATCAAGCCCTAAAGACGTTTGATGTTCTCCATCAGCTAGGCTCAGCTTAGACTCAACTTCAGTAACAGCTGAATTTTCACCGCCAAGATCTATTGTTCTTATAATCCTCTGGAGCTTTTCTTTCAAGAGCTTGGTCTTCTCGACTCTTTCCTTCACTTTCTCACTTATCAGCTGCACAGAATTATCAGGGGATAATTCTTCAGAACAATTCTGAAAATTGGATTCAGTGTTTTTCCCCATAAAAGTGTGATTGTTAACCAGCCGTGCCATCTGCGTCTCATTTTCCACTTCAGCATAAGTAGTTACACAAGAATTTTCAAGCATGGTTCTCTCAACATCTTTAACTGAAAGCAAGCTCGTTTCTTCTATGGAGATTTGATTAGGTTCAGTATCAGACTGAAAAAAGACTTGCTTATTGATCTGTTCTAAAATCTGGCCCCTCTTTTCCGGACTCTCACTGGCAGTCTCAAAGGAATTTCTTAAACTTGGTGCTCTATCTTCATCAGCAAGTGATAACTTCCTATTAATATCCTCCGATTCTTGCTTTCCTTCATTTTCAGCTTCTTGTTCAGCTTTTTGGTCAGAAGAACCACACCCACTTACAACAACATCTATGCCTCCATCGACCTCAAGGTTCCTCGTCGTTACAGCATTCAGAGTTGGACTCAACTGAAAAGTTTCAGAACTCAAACCAATTTCAGGTTCGCCCTTGCATTCAGATTTTTCTAATTCGCTAACAGCACCACAATCATTCTCACAGTGTTCTTTTGATTCGCCTATCATATTTCCAGTGACTTCATCCCCTGATTCTTTTCTTCCTATTCCAATAGACCCCTCACCTGGAATCATCGATTCATCTGCTTCACAAGACCTATTATCATCAGTTCTGTTACCACTCTCCTTGCTGAAAGTTTCATCTAATCCTCTATCCGCATCAACAACGTTTCCTTCACTTTCCACCAGAAACTCGTTACAATCTCCCGGTGCAACACCTAGACTAGTCTCAACGGACACCAAACCATTGTCAGAAATTTTTACTTGCACCATATCTTCATCCGTGGAAACAATTTCACTTGTAACAGAACCTGAGCACTCTGGTTTATCAACCCTTCCCATTTTTCCTGATTCAACTGCATTATCGTCCACTCCTTCTACATCACATGGCTTCATCAATGTGTCAACTTCATGAATGCTACCACCACCATCATTATTGATGATACTTCTTTGAACTTCATGCTCAACAAGTTGCTTGGAATTTCCACCGAATCCCATGGCCGACTCAGTAGAATTCCCTTCTTTTTCCACGATAAAATCATTAGCACCTCCTGTTGGAACACCAAGACTCTGCTCATCAGTATTCCCAAACGACTTCAAACCATTATCCAATTCATCTGTATTGTCCATCACCACTTCTTCTTCTGTGGAAACGAATTCACCTATCACAGAATCCGAACACTCTGGTTCATCAGCCATTCCAACACCTCCAAACTGCGATGTCCTATCTTCGGTTTCTTCACCACCTGGAGCCTTTGTTACACGCAACAAAGCAGCCCCTTCATCATCACTACCCAAAATTTCATCAAATTCATCATCATCCAAAGACAAAATGGCCCGAGGAATGACCACTTTAGCTTTCATGCTAACTCCATCGGCTTCACTAACTTCACTCTCGCTAACTCCATCAACATCTTCACTGTTGTTCTCACTCTCCTCCTCCAAAGAAGAGTAATTCAACGACGTTTCCTCCTCAATATCACCTGCAAATGGTCTATAAATCACACTCCCACCTGAAAAATCACTCCCATCTCCAGTTTCTCCACCTGGATTATCCCCTAGAACTCTGTGAACCCTAACCCCACCCATAATCACATCCTCTAACTCAGTCTCATCGTCTGCATCACCCGAAACAGACTCGAATCCGTCATCAGTCCCAGAATCAACTCCCCTACTGTAATTACTAGCGTTACTAATATCTGAGTTATGTTCATCGGTTGCAGAACCAGAATCATCACCGTCATCAATTGTAAGAGGTGCACGAATCGGAACAGAACCTGCAGAGGAAAACGTGCCAGAGAGAGTGCGAGTGAGAAGAAACGCATCAGCCGCCACCGCTCTTGCCGCAGGAATCGCAATAGCTCGAGGCTTCTCCGAATCGACCGCAAGAATTGAAATACCTCTTGGCTCCATATTACCTTTTTTTGTATAGTTTATAGTAATACACAAAGGAAGAGACACAGAAGGAAACAAAGGAAACGTGAATCGGCAAGGAAGAAGGACACAAAAAGAGGTATTTTGTGATTTTCTGTTTGTCTGAGAAGGTCTTTTTGGGGTTTTGTTAGGGTTTATCTGAAGCTTGTGGCTATGGAAGTGATGGTGTGGAAGACGAGACGACCACAGAGAGAGTGACTATTGCCACACAAAAGGCGGCTCAAAACAAAATTTTTGCCTAGAGAAGAAAACAAAATTATCCACTGTGGTCAATTTTGAAAATTTCAAATTTGAAAACGGAATATACGGAATATTTTAAAAGTTTGGGGTTTATTTGTTATTCTGTTTTTCATTTTTGTTCTGTGTGCCTGATGTTTTGGCTTGGAAGAATCTCTGCTAGCTATCTCCGCCGTAGCCATGGCGGCTTTCCGATGCGCCGTCTTTACATCTCCTTCGACTCTGCTTCCGTCGTACTCCACCGGCAAGAGATTCTCCTTTAACGTTATCCGTTGCTCTTCTTCCGTTTCAATTCCACTCTCGTCGAAGTTACCAAGAAGAAAAAATTACCTGCGACCTAAAATCCTCAGAACATTAAACCCGAAGTCGAAGGAAACCGTGTTAACCGGAATCGAATCGCCGGAGAATTTTCCTCCAAGCGACGTATTATCCAAGGAAGACGATGGTGTAGAGGAGCTTCAGTTCTCAAGTAGCTCGGTTGTGTCTAACGAGATGAATGGGATATTGAGTAAGCTCTCTCCGAAGTTAGTAGCCAAGTATGGATTGTGTTTGATCGGAATATTCGCTTTTCAAACTGTTTGCGCTGTTTTGTTTCTGGGAAACACAACAAAATCCGAGAAAACTCCGGAAATTTCAAGTGAAAATGTAGATAGCAGAAATGGGGAAGAACAAGCAATGTTGTTTCGCTAGAGGATCTTGAGATGAACGAGAAGATTGAAGAGATCAGAGCGATGGCACGTGAAGCACGTAGGAGCGAGGAAAAGAGTGGTGAGAAAGAAGAAGATGAGACCTTGAATCCTGGTGGAGGGATTGACATTGAGAGAGAGATTGAAGCAAGATTGTCTAACATGGAGAAACGGTTGAATTCTCAGAGAAAAGGTTTGGCCGGATTGCGTGTAGAGCCTTTGGATGGATCAAGAAATGATGATTTGAAGGATGAGAAGAAAAGTTTGATGTTTGAGAAGAAGTACAAGTTTAAAGCCGAGAAACCTCCAACGGGTAATGTGAAAGGCTTTGGTGGAAGTAAGGGAAGGCAAAATGGGAATGTTAGTGAATCTCGAGATGGTGAGAAGATTCCTGAAGAAGTGCAAGAAGAAGTAGGGAGTTCAGATTCCAAGATGGTTTCTGGTAGGTTTTTAGAATAAGTGCTATGATCCTGCAACATCTTATGTTAAGTACATTGATGATTTCTGGTAGAATAAGTGCTTTTAGGGGTGTTTTTAGCGAATTTGATCATGCGTAATAATCTTGTGAGATGGTTAACTATATACGGAATATGAAAACTAGGTTTGAAGAAGAACTTTCTTTCAATCTTCAGCTTATCTTAAAATTTTAGGTGCTGCTCAGGAACCTGAGCAAAGGCGAACATCAAACGAAGTTAACAAGTCAAGAAAATCTGGAAGTCAAGTGGACCGTAAACCAAATATGGAAGCTGGTTCTGGATTTGGTAGGACTTCATCGTCAGGCCAACATGGAGAAGTCAGGAAAGGAAAACAGAGAGCCAGGGAGAAACAATCTGGGAATGAGAACAATATGTGGTGGCTGAAGCTTCCCTATGTGCTGGTAGGTTGTGTATTATAGCATTGTTCTCGTTTAGTTTGCATGAATACTATTGGATGCTTTTTGTTTTGAATGCTTTGATTTGCCAGATCCAATCCCACTTCAGGAAAAAGAAGTATCATAACATATTTTGGGGCCAGTACTTACTGTTTTCTCTTCTGTTCAGAGAATTCTTATGCGGAGTAATATCGACCAAGAAATAACTGAGGGATATTTTACTATGAGGACGGAATCTATGGAACAAAACGAGGGCCAGGTCTCACACATGATTGCATTTGAGGATCAAAGTGATGCTATAAACTTCTCCTATCTGCTCGAATCAGTTTTCGAAGACTTGGATGATTTCAGCGCCAATATAGCTCCTATATCAACCAAGGTAAATAAGCTCCTTCTTTTACTAACAATCTTCTCTCTAAAATGTCCTGTCTCTGTGAAATGTACTTAAATTGTAAGAGAATAGTGTTGCTTAGAACCTTGGATATGATCAGAGAAGACAGTGAGATATGAGTTTCTATTTTATTGTAGGATCTTTATAACGAATTGAGTTCTGGTGGCAAGAATGTGATTGTCGTGAAGAAGAGGCAGCTTACGCTGTATGCTGGACAACCATTTGAAGATGTTGAAAGAGCCCTACGTACTCTGATCCAAGAACAACGATGAAAGAGTAATAAACAAGTTGCAGCGATACGATGTTTTTTTCATGGAGCTTGATAAATCAATGAGCTATCCACCTACATTACTAGGCAACGACGAAGCTGCGTTTAGTTAAACAAATTAAGTGGCAGAGATAGATTTGGAATGGTTTTCAGATTATTATAACAATAAATGTCTCACTAATTCTGAAATTTTGGGAAATTCGATGTTTAGGAGGCCCATGTGAAATGCAAGAGAGACATTGATTGTTTTTTGTTTTCTTCTTATACTTATATTTATGTAATTTATTGCAATATTTACAGATGTAAAGTATGTGCAACTTTCAATGCATTGTTCATCAATAATCTAAGACCAACACAAACAAAAATAATCATCAATCGACCTTCTGAATTTTTTTAATGTTGAAGCAAAACATTAGCTCATTTAATTTTAGTTAGTTATTTGATAGAGTGAATATTTCTTTGACCGCAACCTTCAATTCCAAAAGAAGCAAACATTGACGTCAAAATCTAAAAAACAATGCGTACGAGAGTTTCCTTATTTAGTAAGGCTGGTTTCTTGGATTTTCTTTTGGGTTGTAGCCTTAAATGCTTATAATTCCCATTAATTTTTAATAACACTTTCGACAACACATTTTGGGAAATTTTATCAAAGGAAATTTTAATCCTGAAAACTTCAACTGTTAACACGAAACAATCCGACCATTTTGATTTGTTTGTTTCGCGGCAAAACGGTAGACCACAACGCCGATCCTGGAACCTTGTTGAGGAACATCAGAGTGTATAACGTCAACATCGAAAACCTTTCGAGCTTTCTTGAAGAAGACAGATTCTTTCTTCCACCTCCTCAGATGAGCCATCAAGAATATCAACCTCTTCCCCTCTAAACGCATCACCGTCACCATCAAACGCAACGTTTTGAGTAGAGGCTCGTAGAGATGGTCGTGGTACACAACGTCCGACGCTAAAACCAAGTCAACGTCCCGGCCCAGAAGCTCCACGTCATCAGCCTCTCCCCATCGTAGCGGTGCCACGTGGACTTTCCCGCCGAATCTCGCCACGGCTTGCGCGTTGGCGTCGGCGTTGAAGCTGAGGTTGTCGAGGACGTGTGGGAGATCCGTCGCCGTGACGTTAGCGGAAAGAGTGATCGCCGCAGCGATTCCGACGACGCCGGTTCCAGATCCGAGCTCGAGTATGTTTATCGATGGAGACGACGACGAGGAGACAGGACCGTCGGGTTTTAGCGACGAGAGTGTTGCGGTTAGGGGACTGTTGCTAGGGTCACGTCGGTGATTATCGAGCAGCGTGACGAAAGTAGAAGCTGCTGGCCAGAGCTGGAAGGAGAGACCCTGTGACGTCAGTTGACGGATCACGACCGTTGACTCGATTGAGCGGATGTTGTACTGCTGGAGCTCCGGTGCACCGTCACAGAGAGGAGAGAAACTCTCAACGTCGATTCCAGTCTCTCCGATGAGGAGCATTTTAGCTTCGTCTTCGTAGTTTTCCTCATCGTCGTCTCGGAGTGGAAGAGTTATCATCAAAAGATTAGCTTTTTTCTTTCTTTTTCTTTTTTGCGGCGCCGATGTTGTCGCTTGCCTGTAATTATCCACTTTCCATATTTGGTTGCTTTTAGGGCAGTTTTTGGGTAACTTACACGTGGAGCCCTCTTATTGGTTGATAACATAACGCATCTGTCATTCTGTCCTCACCAAGAGAGACCGGGAAGTCTCTGGTGAAGACAGAGAGTTCAATTTGTAGTCAAAGAGCCAAAACACAGAGAGAGTTAATATTGCAGTCTCAGATTATTCTCGCTGGATTCTCTTCAAGTCTTGAAGAACAACATGAGCTGCGTTTCTTCCCGGCGCGCCCATAACTCCGCCTCCAGGATGAGCTCCGCTTCCGCACAAGTAGAGACCCTTTAAAGGGCTTCTGTAATTCGACCTGCGTTACATTTTCCCACAATTTTTTTGAATCATGAATAATCGTAAAGACTGTTTTTCTGAGTTGTGAGAGAGTGTAAATTACCATCCTTTCACTGGTCGCATCAAGAAGAGAGAGTCTAATCCCATGGCACCGTGAAAGATGTTTCCACCTGCAAGAATACAGATGTGGGGACTGTCAAATATGGTGTGGCCATATCTCGTTTATTAGAATAATTACTACATAATCTACCTGTTAGACCAATTTCCCGTTCGAGGTCGGGAGGAGTCAGCATATCGTAGCTAATGACGGATGAGCTAAATCCAGGTGCATATTCATCAATCAATTTGAAACATCTTTGTGCAAATGCTTCCTGATGTAACACAATCAAACAGTAAACCCGGATTGGCCTGTTTTGTAAGTTTTACGGAATGTAGAATGTGTGGAGTAACAGTAATGAGGTTAGATAAGAGTGTATAACTAACTCACTCGATATGCAGGATCTTCCCAGCTTCCATCTGATGGCTTGTAAGGAGTGTATTGGATGAACAAGTTGATTACATGTTTCCCTATATACAAACTCACATTCAGAGCTGAAATGCGTACTAATACTAAACACAAGTAAAAGAGTTTGAGAGTAAAGTAAAAGGAGAATGAGTGTGCCTGGAGGAGATATGGTAGTGTCTAGTGAGGATGGAATAGTCATTTCGATCACTGGTCTCCTTGATGGTAAGCCGTTTTCAGCATCATGACATGCGGAGTGAACCTCGTCCATGCTGACAGAGCAAGAGATAGAACAGAGCCATTGATGTTTGTATTTGTTCATATATATATATACAAATGAAGATAAAATCAGCATGAAGCATACCTCTCTGCACCAATGTGTATAGTGCCGAAATGCTCTGGCCCTGGACTCGAATGATTAGTGTTGCAGCACTGGAACTGTGGTAACTTGTCAACAGCCAAGTTTATTTTGGTAGTTGCCTGTTCACAGCAATTAAACAATCAATCACCAAATACTTAGAGCAATAAAATAAAAAACTATTTGGTTTCTGTAGAGATTTATCTCCCCTTGAACGAGAGAATGAGGAACTAAAAAATGTCATAAAATGCTTACTGAGCTGTAATCTGAGTTCTTTATAGCACCGACGAACTTTTCAGGAAGAACATTGGTCGGAACCAGCTCCTGTTATCCGAAACAGAAGAACTCAATGTAGACTGACATATAATGGAGTTTTGTAAGTAGACAAAATATGACATGAAAAGACTTACCACATAAGTTCTGTAAGGGGTTGCATTGGACAATATAACGGATGACTCTACCCGTCTACCATCAGCAAGCAAAACCTTATACCAGATATCACTTTATCAGATGAGTTCGATTTAAATTTTCACTTTATCCAGCAATCACTGACGACAAACTAACCCCTTTCACGATGCTAGAATCCTCAGTCAATACTTCAGAAACCTGCAAAGTAAATTTGAGCGTAATAAGCGGTGTTGCAATCCGATAAGAGAGATGTTAACTAGAATTCCACTATTACGCATAACGTATGAACAAGGGAAGCCCTCAAAATGATCTGGAAAACAAAAACCTCTGTGTTTGTGAAAATCTGAGCACCAGCTTCCTTTGCAGCATTGGCTATAGCCATGGAGACAGAGCCCATCCCACCTTCGACGTAACTGCCAAAAGATTTCTTATCAGCTACTTAGCAGAGTCAGGTAAAAGAGTTCTTCAATTGCTTACGCATCCAGAATTATGTAAAACATACATAAATATTTCTCCATTGTCAATTCGCGTTAGGAAAATACAATTCAATATTTCAAATACTTACGACCAAATGCCACGCTCTCCATCTGTTTCTCCCATCACATGATGTAGCAAGACATATCCACTTCCAGGAGTATGGACACTGGCCTGTCAATCAAAGTTCAGAGCACTACATTAACTCCACAATATAGTATGAGCAGCTTCCTGAACGTAAAGAAGCATTTCTCACCTCTCCGTTCCATTAAATTAATAATAATAAATCACGAAACGACTCGATTTCAAGAAATTTGAACCTCAAAGCTCAAGATCTAAATTAGGAAGGTCATTACCGTAGATCCAATCACAGCATCTGTTGCAAGAGTCGCCTTCAGGACATCAGACTGCAAGCATAAGGACAACATAAAACGTGTGCCACCAAATATTACTACTACTTGCTAATGCTAATCCTAGGGACCAGTACGTGCTAAGGTAAAAGAAAACCACCTCAAACCAGTTGTTCAAAACTTTTGATGCAGGGGACAATAGAAGATCCATGAAGTCCCTTCACAAAATAAAATTACCAATGCATTAAAGAGAAGCATTCAGATCAACAATGGTCCTTTTTTTTTTGAAAAAGCGCACATTAAGAGATAATGTTAAAATAGGAGATCATACACCATATCTTTTTGACCCAAAGAAGCTGCTTGCCGGAGACAACGAGCCCAGAAAGCAGATTTGGACATCTTATTGCTCAGCTTCTCATTAAAAGAAGAGGCGCCTTGCAGAGATTCTGGAGGAGTTGCATCCAAGAGAGGATCCATGAATCCACAGAATCTCTCTAGCTGCTTCTCGTATCTGCAAAATCAAAGCAAACCGTTTTAGTATATCTAAACAGTTGTTCAATTGAATAATTTGTATGACCAATCACCTTGGGTAAGCGTCTGCATCATGACTCGAGAACTTAGAAATCTCAGAATGATTAAGTGCTTGATCTGGTCCTAGAAGAAGATAACGCCCATCCAAACAAGGGGTAAACGACGATGGACTCCTCTTCAGAAGCTTCAGTCCGTGTTTGCCTAACTCTAATTCTCTTTTGAATCCAAAATCCATGATCAGAGACGACGACGACGGAAACTAAAATCGAACCAATTCAAAAGGAATTTTAAGAGTTAAACCTAATAATACAAGGACGAAGTAGGCTCTGGAGGTAACTGCAACGTGAAAATTTGAAGCCAGGAACGATCTCCTCAGTCACTGCCGCACCACCGATGATGTGGCGGCGCTCGAGAACAGCGACGGAGAGACCACCGCGTGCCAGGTAAGCCGCAGCGATTAAACCGTTGTGGCCGCCGCCGATCACCACCGCGTCCCATTTCTTCTTCGTTAATTGCCCAGAAGTCACGCCGGTCGTGCTAAACCTCCGGCGCCACATTTCTACTCTTCACTCAGTAAGTCGTAACGGTTTCAACTCAAAGAGTCTGTCACTGTGGAATTTAGTTTCGCCCCCACTAGTTTTGATAATTTACAAACAGTCAACTATTTATATAAATTACAAAATAGCCTCAATATGTTTTGTAAAGTCAGGAAACAGTCCCAATTTGTCAATACGTATTTAGTTTTGGCCCAATAGTTTTGGTAAATTATAAGTATAGTCCAAATGGTTTGGATGATTGTTACAAAATAGCTTCAACATATTTCAGAGAGTTCACAAATAGGCCCCAATTGTTTTTATGGCTTGCAAAATAGCTTCATTATACGTTCTGGATTGTTGGTTAAAGACTGCAGACATTGATAAGATTGGGACAGAGAAGACTGACGATTTGGCTGAAGTTCAGGTAATCTAATAACATTGATAAATAGCGGTAACTAGTTTCTGTATAACATTGCTAAGTATTGATGATGTTTCCTGATTTTAAACACTCATTTACCTGCAAACACAATTTAAATTGAGTAAGTTTAGTAGGCTAGACAAGTTTGATAATGTGTGTATTCAATCTTCAAGTCCACAATCTATAATCTGTCAAGTAGTGGAAGTAATTGCTAGATGAAGTGGTCAAAGAAAATGTGTGTATCCAATCTTCAAGTCCACAATCTATAATCTAATAGGTTAATATCCGTTTCAATATTAGAAATTGATTGGCATGTTTCAATCTTAGAAATTGATTGGCATGTTTACATGTAGTTGCAGATGTATGCGTTCGACTGCTTCATACCAATGTAAACCGTTCTAAAGCAAAACTTTGTTTCAAGCATTTGCGATCGCATTAATCTTGAATAATTTGCTATAAAAACATTGGAATCGAAGGCACAGATACTACAATGGGAATAGAAAGGTTGTTATTATAGTCATGTAAAAACGTATTTTACATGAATCAGAGAATCAGAGAGACAAAGATATCTCTTCTTATTGAAACTTATTGAGATGAGACGATCTTGATCATGGCTTGTGCATTGAGCCCTGTCACATTGTTCTCACAAAACTTCTTCCAAGCTTCTTGTTTGCTGTTTCCTTCTTCACCTTCTTCTTCATTCCATGTGAATTTATCATAAATCGAGTTCACCATACTCCTGGCGGCTTCCCTTGCCTCCGGCAACTTGTCATTCAACAAATCAGCAGCCATTTGCGCAATCAGAACCATCCCAAACTCTTCCATTTCATTTACCTCCTGAAAAAAAAAAAAAATCAATCACAGGTCAAGAACATGAACCATTTTGCTCTGACCATTTTAAAACATTTTATACCATTTTGGAAACACAGTTGGAGGTAGACACAGCAGCTTTGGCCCTGACACGAGGGTTATTGTGGCGAACATAAGTTTTGAGCTTACGCAGAAGAGGCAAACGAGCCACTGAGTTAACCATCGTGTTCAGTGCTTTTTCTGCTTCCTCACACACAAACTT